AAATTAGAATATAAATACCCAGTTGTACATAGAGCGATCCTGCGAAAGTTAAGAAGTATTTGTAAAGGAGTAGTATTTTGATGTTTCACAGACGTCCGAGTGTGCCGTATTTGAGGTAAGAAGAGGATCGAAATTAGAGACTTCTCGTGGACTCGCTCATGAGCTTCAGAAGTTTAAACCACTGAACACAAAATAACACACTTTCAAAAGATTTCATTAATCAGAAGTCACAACCGCTTTTAATCTATATCGATATGTTTATGTAAGCACAAAGCAGAACCCAATAACATAATGAACCGGTTGATCCGTGATGATAGTTGGATATACTCAATGTCCTATTTCAATAAATCTGTTCTTGTGAACTCGGCTAAGGGAACAAACTCCCACCTACACGATGAGTTTTGTAATTGCTAATAGCCTAATAAGCTAATACCAGACCAGTCTATTTCGGGATCGTACCAGGAACGAGTTGAGTAATACTGAGTACTGACTCCTGTTCCTACTCAAGAATTAACTGTACTGAACCTTTTCCCTCCGCAGAATGGCTATATGGTATGACTTGTTGATGTCATATTAAAAGTAACCTCCTAGATACATGTATAATATATAGAGTAAGAAAAGAACATGAAACTGCACAGGGCCCCCTAATACACAATTACAATGCGGTTCTCGGTATATTAATATATAGCAGATATAGTAGACATATTTAATAAATTGGTTATTTGTTTTTTAATTATAAAAATCATAAAAATAAATTAACGATGATAAATGAGAACAAACCTTGTTTTAAGTTTAGAGTAGATCTGAGAACACTGTGCTTATCATTAGTACTCTCATGTCGTCATAACTTCAGTTCCCATTTACTTCACCTTGGGAAACATTGGGGGTCAATATCTCTAGTATCAAGACAACTTTGGGTTTCAAAAGGATAAATTTGCACAAGTTTAATTCAACATCGAAAACAATTAGATAGAAAATAAATAACAGCGGGATTATAGGCTTACTACATTTACAAGGAAACTTAGAGGTTAATTTCAATGGAAGATGTGGTTTGGTAGCGGAATTACCAAAATGTTCACCACATTTCACGTGCAGACTGCAAACCCACAAATTTAGATTCTAAATCACCACTTAATATAGAATTAGAATAATCTATGAAAATACTAAATAACGTAAGTATTAAGATTATGAGGTTACTATGAACAAGAAAAGTTCGGGAACAGTTAGTGAGCACAAGCGATAAAGATCTAAAGAGATGGAGCACTCAAAGTTCAAACACATTTTTTTAGTTCTAGCAGACGCTGAATGATATCAGAATTCATTCGAAAAAAGTGAAATCAGAATATTATGGCACAATACATAAAACCAGTACTGCAGTTGCCACAATTTTTAACACATTCACACGGGAAATAATTGATAAAGCAGAAAAGTGAAGTAATGTGAGTCGCATGTTCTGAACTAAGGCGTGAATGTAACAACCAACGTGGTGTTGATTTAAACTATCAGTAAAACTAATTAATTAATTCAATGGTAATTTTGTAATTGTATTACCTCAGCTATTACTGAAGTACTACTACTTATAAGACGTACTGGTCTGTAGTTGCTTTTTTAAAATTTAATTATACTACTGGCATTCGCGGTATTATCGCAATAGATAGTAATCATGGAAATGATATTTACTGTACGCTAACAGCTAAACTAATCACACGATAAAAATAATACAATTAAGCTAGATGCTTGAAACATCCAAATATGCCGTGTCAAAAACACGATCATAATCTTACTATATATAAAGCAAGACGATATATATATATATATATTTATTTATCCGTGCCATTTTACTGACACCACGGCATCAACTTTAACACGACTTTCCGCAAAAACCGTAAAAGATATACAACTGAAACTTTTTTGACTGGGTCAAATGCTTTAATGGCCTTCGAATCAGCATGAAAGAAGAATTTCACCTCACGGCCCACGGGTGAAATGTTTCTTAAAGGCATAAAAACATAAGCCCAAGCTGAAAAGGAAGCACCAGGATACAGTAAATCAACAATTTTCTTAAGAAAATGGCACATATTTTATCAATTAGCATGAAGCTACACACGGTGAGGCACTAAAGGTAGAGGAGCTCATACAACTCCCAACCTTGCTGCGCTCTGCAACGTACGGAGGTGCCAAATTGTAGCAACAGCACTGGTGTTCACAGGTGCTAATATCCGGTGTGTTGCTAGGGGGCGGGCAGTAGTGAAAAGTAGGCATATTTTCCATTGTTAGATTGAAACAATCAAGATATTTCTAGTATAATCAGTATGCCCAAATATTGACAACTATGATAGAAACAATATTGTAAAAGTGAGAATATTGTAAAAGCTACAAAGTGAAAACTGAGATAACCAGGTGACAAGTTGAATGTTGTTGGGCAAAATAGACTGCGACTAATTTGAATATCATTAGCGAACTAAGACAATTGAAACACATTACATATCTTTACACAGTACACACCCCCTCATGACACAGCCAATATTATTATTAATCATTATATTCCAACTTTTAAGCTTACAGCATTTTCAAGCTACTGCACAAAACCGCGACAACAATCCTTTTCCATCCACGCGCCTACCCCAGGTTAGTACGAGATATGCGACCTAATATTATTATAACTAACATGGATTATCCAAATTAGACGAATTAGTGCTCAATTACTTCACTCGACGTGCTGGCATAGCCCATGTAATTCTGAGTTAGCGTACTTATTTGGTTATAATATGCACTATAAATATATATCTAATTTTGTAATAATGTGCTCTTTAACTTATTTATCGTGTAATTATCTCCAAAAGCACAAAACAAAAATACAAGCACATTCAAATTATCGGTGGAATTTACTTGTGTTATTATTTTTGTTAAAATGTTAAGACGAGATAGATTAACAAGCAGAAATACGTTAAATTCTAATTCGCGACACAAAGCACAAAGATATTACAAGTATTAACTAAGGCACTGTAAATTCTTTAAATAACGAATTCCTGAAATTGCAATGTTCATTATTTCTGGGAGGAGGACATTTCTTTGGTAAGGTACTGACGGCCGCCAGTTAGCTAGAGTTAAGATGGGGTATGATGGGGTTGCTCTCACCCCTAACATAACTTACTCCGTTCCTACTTTTAAACGTCGTTAGTACCGGGCAATTACCAGACAAAAACATATGAGATAAACTATAACGGTATCAAAACACTAACGGTAAACTAGCTAAAATACTCAAACACCTTTCAAACATGGCCCAGGCTTTTTATAACGGCCGCGACTTATTGCTATTAAGGGTGGATTTAAATAACTGAGGAAATAATTAACATTTAACTAGCATATAATTATAATCGAGGAAACATTACAAATATATTATATATAATAGAGTTATATATTATATATAATATACAAAGTTACAATATATCCTAGGTTAAAATACGATTCTCACTCCGTTGAACACGCAGAGCAGAGTACAAACATCCGTTGCAGCTCGATCATCTAATTAACATGAGATACGAAACTCTTTTAGTGTGTGTATAAGAAGTGTGTTGGAACTTAAGACTATCTTTAGGTATAATACGAATTACCCGTCTCAGCAATATCCTGCTAACTTAGACAAATCTAGTCGTAACAATGCCGTAACACGTACAATCTGAAACTGATTAGAAATGAGTCATTTCTGACTCAAATGACCTCAAATTCTCCCCAAAATGGTGCTCGATATTTTCAAGATCGCTAACAATATCTTCTACAGAAAGTCTTATATCTCTGGTTGTAACCAAGGAATGTGATTCAAGTTCCATGTGGAATCTAACACATGGTATTCAACTGTCTAGAATCATTGCAATAACACTCGTACATTGTATGTATTCGACACTGACATTTGAGATTCCAAAATCTAGATGTTTTCAATGTATATTACAGCTACCCGCATCAAATTTTCAACTTTCTACAATTTGGAGGTCTAAATTTAATCTCAAGAACCCAGCTGGCGCTGCGATTCACAGCTCCTCAATTTTGATTTAAACAGCGCGGATTAAGCCACGTATACTTGACAGAGATTACTGTTTAAATCAATCAGTGATTAGCAAGACACTAATTTAATTGGGCCAGAGTTTGTGGCACCTGTTGGACCTGCTAAACCTGCTAAAAGTACAATCTTACTATCTGAATACGGCACTGTGTTTCTTAATTCTTTGTTCAGGAAGCTTTGAGAAGTATATATATTTTACTCAACTTCTCTGTTTTGCGAATATTGAAGTTAACTCACACCATAAGGCAGTGTAAGTTTGTCAATACATTATTAGTTATTACTGTGGTACGCTCTATTTGCACTTATCCGTAACACCTGAAGACAAATTAAAATTCTTTAGAACGAATAAAAAGTTGCAGACTTACCTGTTTCTTGATGTTACTGATGACAGAAATAAAAGGAAATCTGAACAATTGTTGATGTTTAGATTTTATCAGTTTTAGCACTGATCAGATTGTGAGGATGCTTGTACCGCTATTCAGTCTCTGTTTACAGTAAACAGAGGCTGAATAGCTGTAAAAGCAGTGTTTTCTATTAACCAAACTGCTAACTTTACAGAGAAGTTTGAGTCCTCATAGAACTACAATTTTAGTAGAAATTTTTGTTAACAGTTTCAAGTGAAGGTATAATGAATATATTACAATCCCATTCTGGTTACAGTGCTGGCTTGATCATTGGTATTTAAATGTTACTACACGTCTATTATACGTGGTGCATTTCGGTTGTTTGGTGAGCAGTAGATAAGCTACGGTGGCCCGGTGGCCTGCCATAAGTCTGTAAACTTGTTTGTTCCTTTCTCGTTTGAATCCTTGAATCTTTGAATCCTTGAATCTTTGAATCCTTGAATCTTTGAATCCTTGAATATTTTAATCTTTCAATTTTTGAATATGAGATCACTTCTCCAGTCTTCTAACTTCACCTATAGCTTCTCAGGGGCAACATGTATCGGATAGTATTGTGTCTGCTCCTTGTTACTCATGTTATTCTGGGAGCTGAAGAGAAAGACCTGGGTCTAGACCAAGAATGGACAATTACGGACGAAAACCTGGATAAAACCGTGAATGAAGTGCCAAACTTTATCGTCTTCGTGTGTGAGTATAACTTTCACAGAAATGCCCTCACTTATACTTCATACTACCGCAAATTGAAAATCACAAACAGTTTTTTTCCATATTCCTGAGTTTATAAAAACAGGTTTACTAGAGGTTAAATATGATTAAGTTATATGATATAAGTTATAACATAAGTTATAATATAAGTTATATAAGTTATAACATAAGACCCCTTAAAGTAGCCAGAACACGAATTATAAAAAATACTGTCCCCTCAGATGTGGACTGGTGCGGACATTGCAAAAGCTTTGCTCCAACTTGGAAGAAAATTGCGGAGAATCTGAACAACAGTCCAGACTCCAAAACGAAAGGTAAAGATCAACACTTGTCAATAAAACTCTCTCTCTCTTCCCAGCTGGAGAGTATTTCTAAGGTTTCAACTTTTGGAGGAGAACGTTTTGACTAGCAAATCTGACAAGTCCAGCCTGACTTTTAAACAGGCTGCATGTTTGCAGTTGTTACTTTAACTACATTTAAACACCCATCAACAACTTCTGTACACTTTACTCTACTTTATGTAAGAAGGAATATGGAAAGCAATTTTAAGTTTGCCTTTTTTTGAGTGTTTATCTGTAACTAAGGTTTCAATTCAGTCCGTCTGAAAGTGGATAATGAGTTTTGTCTAACAGCAAAGTAATAACATTCCAATAGCACACCCTAAAAATGCTAACTAACATAACTAAACCATAGCTTAACTCCATCACGTACAGTTTTCAGCGCTAACGTAGAAAAGAATAAGCAGATTCACAACAGTAAAGGAGTGACCAGTTTCCCTACAATATTCTTCGTACGGAAGGGAGAGTGGAAGCAGTACGCTTCAATGAGAACAGAGGAGAAGGTTCTGGAGTTTGTTAAGTGAGTAGTGGGTATTAGAGCGGGCTATTAGCACTTTTAAAAGAGGACTGTGTACTAACAGACGTAGAGGACTGTAACAGTTAAAATACGTTTGTGGAGGTCGAGTACCTGATTGTTAACTTTGAATGCTATTTTATCGGCTTTATCCGTTTTTGCTCCCATTTTATGAAAATGAGAGTTGAAATATCAATCCATAGAACCGTCACAATTCATTGCTGACTGGAAAATATGTGTGGGAAGATGTCTATAAATATTATCAATACCTAGAAAACATGAAGAAGATGCAACAATAGTGATAAATCCTGATGAACTTGAGGAATTCCTGTCAGGTAAGTGTACATATTTCATTCAATTCTAGTACCTCAAATTCTCCATATCTTAAATATCTCAATATCTCCTGCATATGTTAAACATGTTACATATCTCAACGATTTGAAGAATCAAACAATTTCACAATTCTAGTATCTGCTGTATCCGTGGTCGGGAAATTCTCATCGGGAAAGGAAGTTGAGGATTTTGATAAACTGGCCTGGGAAATGGAACTTCCCGCGGCTGCAATACTCTTGGATAACACCCAATTAGATGGAATTACTGTTCATTCTAACGTAAGAACAAATATTTGCGAGTCTTTATTATGTTGGAGCCATTCTTGTGCTCATTTACTATGCCAAGTTTCCAAGAGGATAAATTGATAGGCCAATTCAAAAATGTGTATATCTGAAATGTTGAATCAAATACTGACTCATGGTTTTCTCTATTCAGCTGGAAGGTAAGCCCTACAGGGTTACACACAGGGATCTAACAGACTGGGAGGGAGTAAAAGAGTTCATAGCACGTGCTAGACGCCCCCTCGTTATACCTTTTAATATTGACAACCATAAAATGGTAGGTTCTTTGATAACCCTAAGAACCTTATTTGGACAATCAAATTAAAACTAATCCTCGAAGTATCAACGAAAGAAATGCTATTCGATAAAAAATAATCATAAATCCATTTCAGGTATTCCAGTTAAAAAGCATATCTACCTCAGTTTTACTTTTCCATGACAAAGATGACGGGTATGAGCAAAGACTCGACATAATGGGTAAGAAAATTTGAAAGGGAGCTGAATTGAATATTGTGGTTTTTGGCACAGTGGCATAAAGTTTTTTACAGTTTTACCACTCATTTGGCATTAAACCCATTTTATATACTAAACCACATCGTATATCCTCAGGCAAGGCATCTAGGACATACAGAGAGAAATGTAACTTTGTTGAGATGGAGATGAGTGATGAATATGTTATGAGATTTGCAGATTTCTTCAAGATCAAAGCGGAAGAACTGCCAATTGTTCACATTTTAGACACGGATAAGGAAAAGAACACTAAAGGACAGATGTCAAGCACTAAGGATCTTTCAGAGAAAGGTAAGCACAAAAACATAAACCAGGCCAAAAACATGAAAACTTAAAATATGGCATCTTCGAGAAAAGCTTCTAAAATGTTTAATTTACTTAACAAATCTTTAAAAATCTTAACAATAACAAATCTTAACAAATGATCTCCAGGTATAGCTCAGCTAATAGAGGACTACATGGTTGGAGAAAGTAAGATGTCAACCCCAGCACAGCCTGGACAGGCTCAGGAAGGAGAGGACAAGCTACCAGAGGACTGGGACACTAGACCTGTCAAATACCTCACAAGTGAGTAACATGGGTAGCATACTTAGAGATTCAAGTTATCAATGACCAACTTCAAACTAACTCGATTAGACGATTGGAAGATGAGACTATAAACTTAGAAGAAATGCTACCAAACGGCAATGCTGTACACACTACACAGAGATAAGAATATCAACTTAGACAAGGATTGTTTTGATTAAGAGTTGAAAATCTTCCCAGGTACAAACTACCCGGATTACGTCCTTAACCCAGATAAGGATGTGTTTGTGATGATTTACCGGGATTCTTGTCCTCACTGTGAGACCTTCAAACCAACATGGGAGGAGTTGGCTAAAAAGTAAGTCCAACAACGATAAAAACGATTTTATTTGGAGTTATGTTATTTGATATAATTTTTTCCCAAGAATTTTGTATTTCTAAGACAACTATGAGTAAACTTCCTTTGAACTGACCACTGAATGATATAATCCTCTAAGGTATGAGACACACGAAACAGTAAAAATAGCGCACATGAAAAGTCAGCATGTGAAGAACGTGACTGGTCTAGAGGTTAAGAAAGTACCTACCTTGCTTTTTTACCCCAGAGGGGTACCAGATGTCACTCAAGTAAGTTAAAGTTTGCTTATTATTGTTGAAATTTAAAGAATCTTATTCTCAACATTCTCAATCCGTTCAAGCAGTAAAGGGCCGAAAGAAATTGTGTTTAATTTAGGTGACATTTATTATTATTTATTATTTAATAATGCAACATCGGACTGCACAATGTTCTGTCGCGGTTATGAAAATCAACATCAATTTTCAGGGTCTCGAATATGAAAGAGAAGGGCGATCACTTGAAGACCTTGAAAATTACCTTAAAGAGGCTGTATTCACAGATGAAGATAGTAATAAAGATGAACTTTAGGTACAATTGCAGTAAATTTTAATTTCATCTGAAATCATGTTAGCATATACATATATACAGGGTGGGCCAAAAGTCAGTACCCATATGTTGGCCTTTATAGCTCAGTCACTGAGTGCCCAATTTAAATACTTCTTTCTGGTATGACTTAGTACCACCACTGGTTCGAAGAATTTGTCAACTCGAAAAATATTCGCGTTCATTTTTTTCAAATGGAGGTTCATTTTCACATTTATTTGATGGTTTGGATAGTCGGATCAAGCTAAATGTTATTGAATTGTGTTTGGATTTTCGAATTACGTTTGTCCTGAAAGAATTAGAACTGTAGCTTCTCAGATGACCGAGATATAAAGCATAACGAGTTTATTCATTACGTGTGATCAGGTGATTGGTTTACCTAATCACGTGATAATGTGACCCCGTTAACTACCCCGTTAAACATTATGGGAATTGTTAAGGGTGCCCAATTAAGGTGTCGTGTCACGGTGTCACATAATCATCCAGTCAATTTTGTTAACGAGATACAGAAAATGCTTAATAACTTCGTTATTTCTAATCCTTTTTGCCTCATGTTTTCAGATCATATGCAACATTTGAAAATCTACCGTCTCTGAAAAAATTAGGCGTTCAGCATGTTCAGAGAAAACAATATAGGTGTTTTAATATTGAATGGGCGTGGTCTAAAATATTCGAATTTTCAAATTTTGACGACGGAATCCTCGAACCAGTAAATACAGTATGCCATCTGCAAAGCAACAGCTCTCAAATATAAAACACGGCGGAGCTATTAAGGCCAACGTATGGGTACTGACTTTTGGCCCACCCTGTATATATTTTATTTTGCCTCAAGGGTCTAATACTCTAATATTTAAAATAATTTCTCTTGGTCGTATTAACGTCAACGAAGAGTCTTTATTGAAATTTGCCTCCCTAAGTGATTCAGTTTGTAATCTAACTCCACCTCTGACCTATTTGACGGCCACTTATATTTTTCATAATCGCACCGGATTTTTTTCGATTTCCCCCTCCTGGCTAAATGAAACTTGTGAGGGGACAGGGAGCGCGATTATAAACTAATCGCATTGTTTTGAGAACAACCGAAAACATAGTTGGTACGATTACAAAACTAATCGCACTTTTCAGAAAGTCTGAATATCGTGTTCCGTAATTTGCTGCCCATACGCTTACATAGGTTTACATTAGTTGCACAAGCGTAATGATATAGCTCAATAATATAGTGCCAATAAAGAGCCACGTTTGAGTCACAAGAACGAATCATCTTGAGAGATACAGGCCACGTGCCAAGGCGTATTCGCTGCTCTGAGACCCTATGAGGCTTGCTGTGAGCAGCCGCTGTTTTTTCTTTTGTTACGGGCCCGATATGGCCGAACTCAACAAAGAGCTCCACACTGGGACTACGAGAGCGTGTTGATGGTTATACGTATTCCTATTTACTGCTCTGAGGCCCTATAAGGCTCAGTGTGACCAGCCGCTGTTTATTGCTGTTGTTTATTGCCGTGTTGTGGTTTATTTAACATACCTTATCGGACCTTATTTGGACGGACATTAAATGAACGGACATAATTATGAACGGACATTAATATAAACGCTAGAAGGCATTCAAAACCATCAAAAATCCGAATTTTTTCATTTCTTTTGACGTTTTTTTATACCAGCAAATGATCTTTAAATCCATTTTTTATACGATAGCATATAATATAAGCATCTCAATACTCAACACTCAATATATTACATTGCAGCAGCCGACCGCAATACAGAACAGTTTTAAGTTCAACGTACAATTTTTATTTTTACATTTTATTGTTACGAAAACCTACTATATTTATTGTTTCTAAAACCAACTATTTATTGTTACTAACACCTTTTACAACGGTAACTTAATCTCAATACTCAACAATATATTAACACTCAATATATTACATTACAGCAGCCGACCGCAGTATAGAACCTTTTTAAGCTCAAAAAATTATTATCAAATTTACTTACTTAGTTTTATCATTTGTTGCTACTATAAACTACTACTAGCGGGTTCAAAGGGCAATAGACGGCGCGGAACTTATTGAAATTTTGATCTTAGAAAAATATTTTATTACTCTTCTATTATGTTGTCCTTTCAATAAAGTTGTACTATTAATATAAGCATGAACAACTTTTTCTTTTCTGTAAATATCAGTGTACTAAATTGTGTGAGTCCTATATAATAATGTTTCTTCATGGTACTCCTAGCGAAAATTACCCGCGTGAACCGAGCGTCCGAGCGTACCCACTTTTGAAAGGTAATTAAAATAGAGTATTCACATACCTTATCTATATAACAACGTCGGACAATGTCCTTGGCAACACGATTTACCATAATATCTAGAGGCTGGAACAAGTTTGTCATGTTGGCGTGGACTAGCTCATGAACTATGTTGTTGAGTGCCATAATTTCGTTAAATTTTTCCGTCCCTTGAAGTGACCCTTGAAAACATCATATACTAGAAAAGTTTTCTGTGCCTCCGGCAGACCAAGGAGAACCTTTTCGTCGTTAACATACGGCACTATGATGTTCTCGATAAAACGTATTGTTGTAGATTCATTTGCCCAATGTTTCTCGTTAAAAATAAACTTAAAGTCTTTCGAAAAGAAATGTAGATTAAGATATTGATCATGCCATAATGTGATATTTACAATTTAGATCGTTAAAATTTTACAATAACTACTACTAGTTTTCATTGATATGAATAATATATATTAATCTAATGATAGCTATTGAAATTGACTGAAATTAAAAGTTGTCATATACCGGACAAAAAGTTCGAAATGGAAAAATTTTCGAAAAAAATTCAACGGACTTTAACTTGGACGGACATTAAATGAAAGGACTTTATTTGAACGGACATTAAGATGAACGCTAGGGCCTCCAGCGTTCAAGTAATACGTCCGTCCAAATAAGGTCCGATAAGGTAGTTATTTAACATAGTTATCATAGTTGTAGCTCATTATATCATAATATATGCGATTACCGTACAAATGAGATACCGAACATTTCCCATCAAGAGCACCGAAGGCGCGACCGGTAATCATTTCCGATATTTCATTCTTTATGAAGGAGCTTGTTAAACATCGCGTAATCTGATACCGAACTTTATTAAACAGCTGTTCTAACCACGAGAGAAGAAATGCAGTTATTCATTAAGTTAGAATACGTTATAATTTTGCAGCTGTTCAACTTGTCTACCTAATCAAATAAACCTGTTCATTTAAAGCTCAAGTAATGTTCCTAGCCGTGTTGATTGTCATACTTGTAAGCATTCAAGTGGTTGGAGCAAACACCAGCACTGTTGATACCTCAACCATAAAGGAAGATGAGATTATAAACTTGGATGAAACACTCCCAAAAGCCGATGTAGTACATGAAGATAAGAAGAACATGCTTGTAACCGAAAATACAGGACCCGAGGATGAAACGATAGATTTAAAGGAAGAAATGCTCATAAAAACAAAATACCATGATAATAACGAACATTTCGAATTCGATGAATATGGATATTTCGATGAACATGGACATTTCGATGAACATGAACATTTCGATGAATATGAACATTTCGATAGACATGGACATTTTGATGAATATGAGGACGACTTCGCCTTCGAATACATGGAACCCGATGAGTTTATGGGAGAATATGATGACATGTCATTTAATCATCATGGATATGAGGACCACGAAGAACTCTAATGAGCTGTAGTACCAGGAAGAGAAACGGCTGAAGATGTAACTGTACTTTTGTGCTCAAATATTTCCTAGTAGCAAATGTCAAATATCAATGATTGATGACTACAGGGATTATATCTATTTATAAGTTGTTCTGAATTAAACCATATCCTTTGAATTAATAATCCTTATGTTAGTAAAGTTAAGTAAATAATTGTGTTATGTGTTTTTGTTATCTATATCTGTGGAGGGATTTTATTTATTATCTAATATTCATTATCTAATATTTATTATAAAGTCTGCATTATTTTTTGTGTTCGTTAACTTAAAGTGAATGGAAGAATTCGAGAATTATTGAAGAATTCAAAAAAATCTTGTGAGTCAAACTAGAAATTTCCTGCGTTGGATTAAACATATAAAACAACATACGGTGAATAAAGTACAGTACGAAAAATAGAAAAAAATAAATAATTATCCGAACACTATTCCTCTAGAATGTTTTATGCATCAGTTACGATACATTTCATCCTTTTCGTGGCAGTAGCCTCACAACACTACGATTACGACCAACCCTCCGCTCTATTAACAGATGTCACTGATAACACCGTTACGGATCTCATCAACTCAGCACAATATTTCTTACTCGATTTTTGTGAGTATTACCGCGTGTTTACTGGTATTAGTTTATAGCCATATAGACGACAACGTCAACGAGTTCAAAATTCATGATCATATATTTAAAATATAGGCGTCTCTTGTATTCAACAATCCAATACTTCAGATATGTCCAGGAAAGACATGATGATACCAATGGACCCCACCCACGCAGCGTGCAGTTTCACAGTAGCAGAGAAACTAAAGCACATGTCTCAACTAAAGTTTGGTAAAATAGAAACTAAAAATAATGCTGTGATAAGTGATGAGATAGGGATTAAAGCTTCACCGCATGCATCCAAAGTGCTCTTTAAAGATGGGAAGGTTATAGATATTATCAACGCAGGTAAGTGAGAGGCAATAACATTTAATTAACAATTAACATTTAACAATTGAACAATGATTTTAGGGATAATATCCGGTAGTAGAGACTATGTAGGACAAGTGAAACTAATGTTTAGGAACAAACACGAGTTTTCAGTGTGCTACACCTTCATCAGGCTCAAATTATTTGTTATATAGTAGTGTTGAAAGTATTAAAACAATTGAAGACGCCCGGAATGTTGGCATTAATATCTGAATTTAAAGTTCTGAAAACCTTAAGTTTGAAGCGGCATACAAACAACAATAAGTTAAACTTGCACAGGTATGAGAGATCTGTACCAACCGAAAATGTTGGAGAACTGGATAGTGAAACGGGTCTCAGGTCCAATTTCTGATGCAGAGGTAAGAGTTCAGTTAAACTTGACGGTCAACGACTGTCGGGCTATTTATAAACAAGTAACTTATTTGATCAGTCTAATATATCCTGTTACACAAATCGCTAAATTAATCAAATGTACAAGATATTTGGCGTACACTCAACAGATGATGAGTCTCTAACAATTACATAATGACTTTCAAAATTAACAAACAGTCAACACTGCAACATTACACCCTCCAAGTCCAAATACAGAAATAAGACCCGCCAAAATGAAGGTTAAACGGCTGCGCTAAAAGTAAAAATCACCCTGAAATCCACGCTATAACCCCAACACCACCAATCAGGTCCCGGCTCTCTCAAGCGAAGAATCAGTAGTCCTGACCCTCACCAGTACTCCCTCCCCTCTCCTAGCAGCTGCTTCTCTAAAACTCACTAGAATAATGTTCCACCACCAGTCCGGAGAGGTGGAGTACCAAGGAAGGGTGTTGTTGGAGGGCGGCACCTACGTTATCAGGAACGTGAGTTGAGGGTTATTTGTATCACCTTATTGAGGCCTGTTACTGTCACCTTGTTACTGTTATAGTTACCTATCACCTTATTGAGGCTAACTCAAGGATATGATTTATTCCAACATTTATAATCCGAGAAGAGATTAGATCCGTTAAGATTGTGATCGAAAAAACTCGTATCTGAAAAAATCTAATTAATAAATAAGAATTAAGTAAAACAGATAGTGATATTAAACAAAGTTGGCTAGACCTCTAGGGGTCTTGAAGAAAACTTAAACATCACAAGGTACTTTAAATGTTATTAATAAATGTTATAAAAGCTATCGAAACATTGTACAGGGTCGCCCAAAATTAATTACATGTTGAGTGAAGCCTCCAAATGGCCGCCCCTCTAGTGGGTGGGCTATAATAACTAATAAGGCTACGTGTGTTAAATACAGTCCGCATGTATTGTAGAACACACACCCTCATGTTATTGAAACACAACTGAAACACAGTAGTTTTTAGGAGAAACCAGTGTGGAGTCAGTGGATCTGGCTGGATCAGAGGAGGAGGTGGTGGCAAGGATACGAGCCCTAACACACCCCACAATACAGCACGTCGCAACCAGGGTAACTATATAACTATATAGTATAGAACTATATGACTATATAGTATAGAACTATATAACTATATTAGTAACCCCGTACTCCGTTCTTGTTGACAAGTAAAAACTGATAAATTACGCTGTGTGACGTCAGTGGAAGAGAGGCGGTAGCACGTGGTGTGGGTTGTAGTAGTAGTCGGAGGGAGGCAGTACAAGATATGCAGCTGGTTTCTTTATTTTGATCTTGAGGGGCTACGGGGGGTATTTAACATTGCAATGTTTTATGGGGGATGAATTATGTTAATTATGTTAAATGTTAGAGACGGTCAAGCTAATGAACTGGTAACATATTTGGCAACAATTCTTTTAGAGTTAGATGATTTAATGTTGCGTACCGTCTTCACAGTGAAAGTGGATTGTGCAGCTTCCAGAGCTCCAATATTAAGCGTCTAGTCCGGAGTAACCACCGCGGATGCTGATAATTATTAATTACCTCAAAGAAATAAGTCCACCGTGTCACATTTATAAATAATTCCGGGCAGGTTTTCACAGAGATTTACTACAACGAACAGTGGATGTTGGGTCTCCTGGTCCAGGGAGCTGTGTCTGATCACAAGGCTATATTTGATATGTTTATATCTACTCTGGAGGGACTGAAAGAGATGCTCCCCGACCCTGCGGTAAACACTAAGTCTTGTTCAAAACATTCAATAAATAGTAAACGTTTGCGAATTACTGAGGAAAAACTGTTTCAATTGACGTGATCGCACATGGAAAATGAAATTTCTAGGACAGTGAAAACTTTAAAAGTCATTGGTCGTATCCCATCATTAAGATAAATATTTCCAGGAGTTAAGGGGAGTGTACTTGTTAAACAACAAAAAGGAGAAAACAGAGGGTGAGGAATTCGACATGGAAGGAGATCGCAATGACAGACTATTGAAACATCTGGATATTGATGACAATAAACGAGGCGGACCCACCGTGTTTTTGGTAAACTATCGCAGAAATTAAATCATCGATTTAATTCTCTAATTTATAAAAAGGAGCGTCATAAAATTGGACTTAAACATCGTTTATATATTACGTAAACCAAAATGCTTTTACTAAAATATTTTCTGGATCATAGCAGCATAGCTATTACTCTATTAGTATTAAATTATTATGCGTAAATTGTAAAGTGGCTTACGGAAGAGGGACTAGGGAGGCCGGGAGGTGGTTCAAAATTTAAAAATCTGGCTAACCTAATTTGTGAACGATTCCTTAGTTAAGTTTAACAATTGGACCGTTATTCAGAAGCATACTTTTAATTTATTAAAGTAAAAATCGCGCAGTTCAAAAGCAACGGAATTTCAAGTGGAGCTGAACCGATAAAAGCCACCATGAAAACAGAGCTGACAGAACACAACATAAAAACATTCTTCTTTGAACAAGTTCAGAAGAAGCTCCTTGAAGAAACCACGGCGAAGAAACGCAAAGCGACCAAACGATCTGAGACGATACCTCCAAATTGGAGAGGTAAGAGAGTCGAGGACCGAGGCTTGGATGAAACTATTCAACTGTCTGCATTCCAACGTCCAATGAGTTGTTTTGTAGGACTTCTCACACAAAATAGCTGCCATTTTTGAAGTGACGTGGGTCATCTTTTATGTGCTACCATAAAGGGAGTGTAGCAGTGGAGTGTAAGGGTTGCAGCTTAAGTTACTGTAGCTTTGGGTTGCAGTGTTAGTTACTGTAGCAAGTGGGGGCTCCCACTCAGGCCACCGCGCAGACACAAATTCCTATTTGTTTGGTTAATTAACGGTAAAAGTGTATCAATGCTAATCTTAGCATTATTAATTTGTAGTAATCGTGGTAACTGGAACTGCCGTTACCAATCAGGCTGGTCTGTTATGATAAATATAATCTTCAATCTTGATCAAGCACACCGGATTCGCATTTGTGCAGTGTGCAGATGTGCAGTCCCAAGCAAGCCCGATGACAGTTTACAAACGAGCTGCAGACATATAATTATAACTAGCAATTCTCCTCAGCTAAAAAGATCAAGCACATTGTACGGGAAACGCTGGAGGAATGGGTATCTGGAAGTAAAGCAGCAGTTCTTATCCTGATCTGTCATGAGACTGTATCAAGCACGCTTACTAAACAGTTCTTATCGATAGCAAAGGTAACAAACTAAGAGAGTAACAGAAAGTATGATTAGTAAAAGGTCAGGTCTGAACGGGAAACATATTTTACATAGCAATATGGAAACATTTGTCTTTAACTTGATTATAGTTGCATAGTTAAGTCAGATGAAACCTAATTTAGATATTATCTTCCCATTCTCCGGAATATTAGATTTAGTCATGGGTTAGATACCCGTTAGAGATACCCAGCTAACTTCAGTAATCGATCTGACTGATTTGACCAAATCACTTGCTACATATTAAAGTCACTATTGTGACGGTACATTGGAACTAGACAGAAACAAAGTGTGAAGGGCATGAACAGAACCCCTCGGTTTCAGTTATTGTTTAACACTGCCGTACAGCAAGGACATTCGCCGGGTTCTCCAAGGATGGGCACAATTATCATCATTCATCAAGATCGAAGACGCTTTTTGTAGAACGGAAAAAATTGTTTCTTCTAAAGAATGAGATACAAATATAATCAAATAATTGAAATATCACCCTATTACTCATATTTGTGACGTACGTTTAATAAAATTCCAGACTTGATGTGATTTAATAGATCCGATTGGACAGTCGACCTGACAAATTCAGGAAAACGTCAAAACACACCACGAACAATAATAAATATCCCAGATAGAGAAGAAGTACGCGGGCGAGGTCGAGTTTGGTAAGCTTCACACAGGACTTAACGAGCTGGATATAACTTTACCCAACAAGGGGGTTGTTAGGGTCAAGAGGGAGAGTGATGGTCAGGTGAGACACCTAAATCTAAGTTCACTTCTCGTGTAATTATGGAATACTCAATGGGTCTGAATTGTTCATTTGGAAAATTAGAAGAAACAGAGAATTACATTATCGATCATCAAAGGATGGGCCAACGAAAAGCCGCTTAAGCAAGGGTCCTTTAGAGCTTTAGGTCACAAAACTAAATCTTCGATAACTCTGACCGTTATGATAATATTGTGACAGCAATCCAACGATTAAATACGCTGATTAACTTTAAGTTTAATTCTTACCTGTATTTTCAGATATCAGCAGAGGTCCTCAGCAGAACGATAGACAGCAACCAGCTTGCTAACTTCATCTCTTCTGTTCTTCAGAAGGAGGAACTGTAGGGTAGACAGTCCTTAGGAGAAATTAGCAAGTCTTCCTATCTTCGTATCGGTTGTACGTGACATCGTTGTTCCTATAAGTTGAATTATATATAAGTGAGTTATATAAGTAAATGGGTTGGTTTATAGGAAAAGGATATTTTTATTAATTTATGGTTGGTATTTAAGTTTTTTTATTGATGATCTTCTGATAAGGTTAATATTGAAGTAATCACAGTTAGTTTTTACCGTTTTATTTTAACGATTGATATTGATATCTTCAATACGGCCGGTGTCTATTGCACTTGCAGAATCATCTTAATTTCAATTTGAAATTTATCGCCATAGATCTGCTGCTATGTACTGCAAAGTTCATCTATATATAACGTATCATAATTCCTCTGCCCAAAACAAACTAATGCTCTTCACGTACACCTCCAGACCGCTTTACTTGTCACCACTTCATATTAAAACTGGTACTTCCCTACTTTGATTACTTCTTACTTTCCCCAACTTCCTTTAACCATTTACCCCACTATATAAAGCAAATGCATCATCAGATAAAACTGAATTAATCGCCCTAGCATCTAGTTTATGAACATTATAGCCCGGGGTACCCAGGTAACGCGATCTAGCATCTAGGCTGTCTCAGTCTTGCAACACACCTCTTATATTCTCCCAAGATATTTGCCCCTATCTAACTTGGGGGGGGGGGGGGGGGGGGGGGGCCAACCATATTAAAGTATATTAAAATGTAGGATTTTCCCCGATTTTGACCCGGGGATATACTTTAATATACTTTAATATACTTTAATATACTTTAATATATCCCTATCTCCTTGGAGGCCTACATCAAAAATTGTTGCCCAAAATAAGCTTGAAATGCAATTCTTAATCGATTCCAAAAAGTTCTTGAAAAATATTGAAAACTGATGGAGTTATTTCAATTTTAATGAAGTCATTTTGGCTAGTATTCCGAACCGAGATATTATGTGCAATTTTCCCAATTTTGTTCATGGAGGTCTTTTTACTTAGTATCCACTATATTCAACAAACACTGAGTTACATCTTTCACATAGAGTTAGTATCATTAAAAAATATTGAAATTTTATCGAATTTGGGCAAAAGCGAATTTGGGCAAAAGCGTATGCCCAAATATGGGCATATTTTTTAAAGCTCATAGCTCAGCCAATTTTTGACCAATCTGGATGGAAATTCATGTACTAGTCCTAAAACAGGCTTATCTTGCGAATCTGAGTGAAAAATATAGTTCATCATGTAAATCTTAACGAAGAATATAAATCTTCTAATTGTAGGTATATTAAAGTATATTAAAATGTAGGATTTTTTCCGATTTTGACCCGCGGGGATATACTTTAATATACTTTAATATGGTTGGCCCCCCCCCCTAACTTATATCTCGTGAATATTGTGACTGTATTTTTACCAAAATGTCCTCAAAGTGGATCCTAATAGTAATATCCTGCACAAAATTGAACCGATCTATAAATAAATATACAATTCAGACCTCTATTATTTACTCCCTGTCGGGGTACAATTATCAAATATCTGTTTGTAAATCCGAGAATGTTACAAATACAAATGTCAGCGTATAATAGATTTATAATGGGAGGGAAGAATATGCCGTTTTGACAAGCATGAGTAGAACTTCAACTAGAATTAGAAACCATTTGGACGTTGCTCGGACAGTCAGGAGACAGGATGAAGTACTTCTTATAATTCTTTCCGAGAATTATATCCCCGAAAAGTCGTGAACACTGGTAACCGATAATTTCCCGAAAGGGTTGCCAGCGTATAATCAGGACAGACTGCGAGTCACCTCAGACTGGCTGGCGGGAAGTTTCAAAACAAATAACAGTTGCGCACTACATATATATTACACACTATATAAATATTGTATCGTAATCAGGACAGCGTATTATCAGCAATAACTGTTGCGACATGTTTTAAGGATTTGAATTCGCTAATTTCAGATTTATGTGCAGGTTGATGTAATGGCGGTGAGGGTACCACTACCAACGTTGAAGAAGCGTGTATTAAATAAAGGTATGAGAAAAGTGCGTTTTCTACGTTAGATTAAGAATGCAGCATTATATTTCTGGAAGTGGAAGAAAGTTGTTGACCATGATGGTTTAAATGGGCAGCGGTCAAGCAAGTAATCTAATAGTAATACTGGGTATTTCAAGAATAATTTCTGGGCCACATTTAATTAATTGTCACAGTAGCGGTTGTTTAAAGTCTTGGGATTGGTTTCATGTTTGTCACAACTATAGCTGTCCGTTAATTTCATTCGTTTGAAGTTTTTTAAATCTAAAATTTTGAGATAAATCAAGCTGCCCAGATTGTTTTGGAAATTTTCAACTTTAATAATGATAATAATCATATGTTGATTATCAATTAATTAATCGTATTTTAATTAAGAATAAATATTCCTTTCGTTATCTGTAAAAAATATGCCCTATCCTGAAATATAAGATAACAATTCTTGAGATAAAAGATTTTATCACACTAAGGCCGTCTAATAACATTAACGGCCTACAACCTAAAAATACACACAAAATCAAGAATACTAGATAGTATTAACTAATAACTAGTAAGAAAAGGTAGTGATCAGCAAAAATACTAATATTTACCATTTTCTTACACATCAACATATTTTAACGAAAATAATTTAAATAAAATATAAACCACAGAAATTATATTATTATTGAGATCTTATCATTATTTCTTATTTTGGTCGCGGGTCTAAGACCGAAATAAGACCAAATCACTGGTAAAACGTTATTATGTTTACTGGAATCATAAATTGATACTTTATCAAAAGTTACGACTTACGTTTGACCCCAGTTGCTAACATATAATGTTAGAATAAAATACAACGTTAACTGTTATAAAACAATTTGATCAAACAAACTTAAATATAGAAAAATACACGGAGACAGGAGATGATGATTTGAGGAATGAGTAAAATCGAAGAGTTTATTTTCCGAACAAGCTGGTGAAGACGATAGGTTTGATTTCATCGTCATCCAAGGAAAGTGAGACTAAGGTACCCCGCTTGATCTGGTTCACTTCAGGACCTGGAATTGGTAAAACTGTTTAATTAACTTATTTATTTACACGTTAAAAACAACGGCACGTTAACCTTTTCACAAATTTCAGCTTTTAATTCGTCTGACCACGTTTGAGAAACTGTCTGACAACAACTTTCAACATTAACTTATATATTAGTAAGATATATAGTTTGATATTATAATTTAACCGTATTTTACCTAGCTCTGTCTCGAATGTGCTTGAAATCTCCTTTAATACTTTATCCTTCTTAACTCTTCTCCATGTAGTAATAAGACCAGTGGCAATATCAACCTGTTTAAACATGAATTTACAAAATTTCAGTGCAGAATAATCAACTGACAGTTAAATTGTAGAGTCAATTAAATTGTATATTCAATTAAATTGTAGATTCAATTAAATTGTAGATTCAATGTAATTAAATTAATTGATTATATTTTGAACTTACGGGTGTGGGAGGAGCGATGGTGAGGACCACAACATTAAACTGTTCGTACTGTTCCGCTAACACACTGAGGAACTCCTTGGTGTCCATAGCTTTATGTACTGTGTTTATTACTAGGAGTTTCAGGGCGGAGCAGGATTCAGATGTCAGGAACTTCTCACATCTGTCAACCAGCTCCAGGTCCTCCGTACCTGGCGTTGTCATGGTTAATGGTTATGTGGTGGTTATGACGTGGTTATGACGTGGTTATGACGTGGTAATGACGTGGTTATGACGTGTTTATGACGTGGCTTGTTTGATATTGACGGGTGATATTTGACTTTGTTCGATATTGACAACACAATCTCGTTAAATCACCTGTTATGGATAACAGTCATTTTTCAGGAATCGGGATATAAAGTGATAAAGTGTCACAATCAGTGTAATACGTTTGTTTTGACAATCTCGTTAAGCTATGACGTTTCAAACTGTAAAATTAGTCTTTCAGGATAGTTTGATATGCGTTGAATTCCTACTCTTTGCACTGTCTATTGTCATAAATTCCATATAAAAAACAGATATATGATAATATATCTATATATATTATATATGATATAGAAAACGTACCTGTTATAGTCTTGAACTGGTAGAAGTCCACATCACTGTGGGATGACACACTCTTTAACTCAGGTGACACCACCATAACAGGGAGCTCCATCTTGACCCACACCTCCACTATCTGCTTAATGATAGAGTTCTTGGCAGCGGCGTCACCTCCGTGGACTAGAATGTAACTTGGTTGTGCAGCGTTTACATTCAGGAATGTGGAGTCACCTGGTCAGAGAAGTAACTGTTGAAACTTGAAAAGATTAGAGACAAGGTTTGAGACAAAAACTTGTTAACAAATATGTAGCCGGATATAGCGGCAATTCTGAAGAGATTCATACCTAATACATTTAAAAAGTCAAACTAAGACCGTAAACGAACCTGAAATGCCGATGCTACAAGGAGTTCTCCGTGAGGAAGTAAAGAAGGTCGTATAATGCTCCTCTTCCTCTTCCTCCTTCTCCTCTTCCTCCTCATGATCTGCCGACTCAGAAGAAGACAAATTCAACTTAGTAAAGGTCTCATCCAATTTGTCCTCCTTCATTCTAGGCGAACTAGCAGCATCACTGGAGACGGACAGATTATCAACCAGAACGCCAGAAGATCGCCCTGATAACTCGGACTCTGACTTACTGCAAACTACATAATCTGATCCTGACGAGTGTTCCGATCTAGGAGTGTTCTGAATCGACTCCAGACCCGGAGGAGCTTTAGAAACGGAAGATGTCTGGTCGACTGACTTTGATGTTTGGAGAGGGAGTTGGGGTATTGTTGAAGCTCCGGATGAGGAGTTTTCAATTGTATCAGATTCTGAGGGTGGTGTGACGGTCTCAGACTCAGGCTGTGTCGGATTGGTTTCTGGAGATGATGCTGGTTCCCAGACTGGGTTACTGAGCGGTACTAAAGGTTCAACCACTTTATCCGGGTCAGCAACAACCACTTTATCCGGATCAGCGGGCTGAGATGCTTCGCTTTCTGGTAGTTTCGTATTTTCGGATATATTATCTGTTTCCGAAGGATCTATATTTAAAACTGGAAGAGAATTTTGATCCGAATTCCGATGGTTTGTAATATTCGGAGTTTCTTGAGTTTGTGGAACGGTCTCACTACGAGATACTTTGTTTTCAGTAACAGTAGGGTTAGTTTCAACAACATCAGAGATCGGAACTGCTTGATCTGAAGCTAGGACATCCACTTGATCAGATTTTGCAGGAGGGCTATACAACATATCTTCGAAGTTTGAGTATGAATCTGATGTCTGCTGAGAATCAGGGTTCAGAGACGGTGTGGATACAAGTTTTGGATAAGAATCGCTGATATCTGGATGTTGTGCGATAGGAGCGCGCATCGGCGGGGGTACATAAGCTCCTTGGGGCGCGTTCACTTCTGGTACAGAGTATGACGCAGCTGTTTGCTGAGAATCATGGTTCAGAGATGGTGGCGATACAAGTTTTGGATAAGAATCACTGATATCTAGATGTTGTGCGATAGGAGCGCGCATTGGCGGGGGTACATAAGCTCCTTGGGGTGCGCTCACTACAGGTGCAGAAGACTGGGACACTGGAGCAAGAGATGTTACCGCAGTTACTGACGGACTCTTAGTCGACATTACAGGTGCTGTTGTGGGTGTCCTTGAAAGATCAGATACAATGGAAGCTTGAGGAGGAGTCATGGCATCAGGGGTCATAGCCCCAGGGACCATGGGTGAAGTAGAAACAGGAGGAGTGCTGTGGCGAGGGTCGACAAACTGGGCCGATGATGGAGGCATTTGTTGTTTGGGAAGGTTGAGCGTGACATTTATTGTCTTTTTACCGCTTGGGAGCTGACGTACTTCAGTCAGGAATATCCTGAAATTGAATTATCATTTTACAAAGATGATTGTAGTGTTCAGTATTTCTGTATTTATCAATTCAAAACAAGAATTGCGCCCGTTGTTTCGTTTTGGCGGACGCTAGATTTCCATTTCAGATTAACTATCAATTTAAGTATAACTATAAGCTCCAATCAGCTCACTTCAATCTTCATGATAATAATATTGATCAATTATGCATCAAATACGGGAAACACTTGAAATTCAGTTCAATTGCCGTAGAACTTAACTTGTATCTGTAATTCAAGAAATTATCAGCAAAGGTAAACTATACTCGTGTACACATCAATACACTACGCGTGCCACGTACAAATTGGGTGTATTACCTAATAGTAATATTATACATTACATGCATCATATACACAGTCGCGCCGCGCATTCATAGATCACAGGCTATCTATACATCACATCTCCGCAAGCAATCCTCGCGCGCGCCCAACTTTTTCGTTGCATGGTAACGAACGAACACACGACATATTTAAACCCACCTATCTCGTTCTCCAAAATCCACGTTTTTCTGCAAAAACCTCCATTCGTAACCTTTCACTATCGCCTTTTTTCAAAAGGGTGAAAAGGAAAAAATTATCATCTGATGAAATATGAAATGCCAATCATATTATTCATACCTCGGTCTAGTTTTCAGACACTTGTAAAATTCCTTGGTGAGGTTCGCAGTGTTGACTTGAGTTACCTAAAAATAGTTGTTTTTAAGTCAGAAGCTCAGGAAATTGTATGTCTAACGAGATTTTTCAATTGGGCAGTATTGACTGTCATACTGCATACAGGAAATTCAGTAATTCGACTGAAATCAACATATCAAAGTTTCTAATCAGCTACTTACAGAGAACTCTTTCATGAACTTTTTAACAAGGTCAGTAATTGGAATTGAAGCTACAAGTCCACCAGATATCTCCTCTCGAACCACATTGTAGATCCAGTGTTCTGGTGATCCAGGCTGCAAATCTGGTTGAGTAAAGTAAAAAGTAAAGTAAAATTTATGTCATCACATCATCACACATGTCTACAAAATATCATCGCATTATGAGAGAAATTTTAAAATTCTTATCAATCATATTTATCAAACGAATAATGAATGTGAGTCTGGTCAGTTGCAGTGGTCATGGCATAAATTATCAGGAAATGGCGATACCCTCAGCATACCAACAGGATAGTAATAGATTTAATTTATGATAGAAATGTAACTTTTGTTTTGATAGATATAAAACACGATCTAAAATAGTTAATATCAACAAAAACGCCTGTACCTGGAATGTCAACAGGTATTCTTTTAAGAATATCCCAGTTGAACCCATTTGGAGCCTGAAGACTGGCAGTGTCATACAAGGACGACGAGAGGTTCTGGTTAGAGCCATGATTATACGAAGCAGGTGACCCATTTACAGTCGTAAGAGGTGAGGCTACTCCTGATTTCTGAGGACTGGCTGATGCGTGTGGTGCTGCTGGCGGGCTACTCCTTGCTGCTGAGTCAGGGTCAGAATTCGGCGGTCTTGTGGCAGTGGAGGGGCCACTAACCGGCGGTCTTGTGGCAGTGGAGGGGCCACTTACCGGCGGTCTTGTGGCAGTGGAGGGGCCACTTACCGGCGGTCTTGTGGCAGTGGAGGGGCCACTTACCGGCGGTCTTGTGGCAGTGGAGGGGCCACTTACCGGCGGTCTTGTGGCAGTGGAGGGGCCACTTACCGGCAGTCTTGTGGCAGTGGAGGGGCCACCTACTGGCGGTCTTGTGGCAGTGGAGGTGCCACCTACCGGCAGTCTAGTAGTGGGAATATATTCCATATTTGGTGGTCTTGTACCCGGAATTGTGCTGTTAGGTGATCGAGTAGAATGAGCGGGCTCCTCTTTTGGCGATCGAGTCACAGGAGCAGAGTAAGGTGGTCTTATGGCCTGACTAGAGTTCGTAGTGGGTGGAATTGCTGATGGTATCGAGTTTGAAGGAGGCAGCGGATCAGCTTTAGGTTGACGTGGGCTGGGCTGAAGCATGTCCTCGAATGATGCAACAGGGCGAACGTTCGGGAAGTTTGGAGGTATTGTAGAAGGTGGGATGCTTGAATTTGGCGGTCGAGTCCTGGATGGTGGTCGTAAATTAGGTTGACGTATAATTGAAGGATTGGCTTGTAATCCACTGGAAGGCGAGGTAGTGTTAATAGATGAATTGATTGTAGAGAATGGGGGCACGTAGTCCGGATAGTTACTGTTAGGGGGACGAGTCGATGGAGCTGACCAACTATCATTAGGAACCGAGGAAGAAACGGGCGTAGGAGTGCTCGCTGTGGGCATTTCCTCAGGTTTTTCGGAGGACACTGATTCAGCGTCAGAGTATCCTGGAGGTGGACCGGAAATACGTGATACCGTGCTTATCAAGCTGTGTTGGTGACGCTTAGCAGCAGGGTTGTAACCGCTATCAATTGCCTCCAACTCTGCTGAAGTATCAAAACTAATAGACACAGGAGTTGATACGGGCGGAGCAACCGGTTCAGTAGAAATTGAGTCTGATGTTTCTTCGGGGGGTCGGAGCGAGTCTAGTTCAGAAGAGAGCCGCCCTGGAGAAGTTTCTGGAGACGTTTCTTTCTGAAATGGGAGTTTTAAATAAGGAACTAAGCTAAATTATAAAGAAATTTCACCTTTTAAATATCAAATGCGTCCAAACGATCTATGTTTCATATCTTACTTTGGTAGAGGCATATTGGTTTCCTATAGCAGATCGTATTCCGTCGAGAACGTTCTTGTGGATTTGCCCGATTATATTGACGGGTCCAGTGACTGATATGTTGTCATTTTCGTACGGAGAAAAGTTAATACTTGAACCAGGAAACTCTGAAATGGTTTTTTCAAAGTTTAAACTATCATCCAGCAAAAACATTAAGGTGATTTTACATTCATCTTATCGTCATCGTTATTTTGACAAGCTTATGCACAAACCGTGAATGAGCTTCTCCACAATTTCTCTGTTTCGATAAGCGAATCCATTCTCTTGAGGAGTCATAGATATCAACTTGGTAATGACTTGCAGAGGGAAAGTTGGTATGCTTGATGAAGGAGCCGGTGATGAAGGTGGCCTCGTGGTATTTGGAGGTCGAGTTGAGGGTTTTATTGAATTTTCCCTTGGCTTTGCAGACTGATTTCCGTTAGTATTACCATCCATTGAAGCAACTTGAGCCATCGTCCTGACCGGCGAAGGTGATTTTACGGACGGTGGTTTGGCCTGAAACGAGTGCGGTCAAGTAACAGTATTAAAGACAGCAACAAAAAGCAGTAAAATTAAAATGAAAATCAGTTTGGGTTTAATGCTGTTACGTTACCCATACAGTCAAAAAGGATAATCATAATATTTAAATTTATGCACATGGAAGCAAGATAAAACGTTACCAGCCGAAAACTAATGTAAATGAAAATCAAGGTGACGAAGACATAAAGAATTGACTAATGTATGAGAGGTTACAAGTGGATGCTTTGACACACACTTCAAACCTGTTCCACATAAACCTTATCATGGAGGATTATCATCTCTTGGATTTTATTTTTAGCTGCTTTCACATCAACCACTTTACCACTCAAGATCAAATCTGCGCCCTGTTGGATCAGCTCCAACTCAGGATAACCTGAATAATTCGACATTTTACAACGAAAAACTATAAATTATTCAATCAAAATAACTATAATTTATAAAAATCAACACTGACTTAATCCTAACGGAGCCGTTTGATTTTACCTTTGATGACGCTGTAAACAAGGTAAAGATTCCTCCTAGCAAGGTCTAGCTGCCGTTCTGATAAGTTGTTGAGAGGGGATTGGAACGGTTTCTCCGGCGTGGTAACACCCTATTTTTAAATATCGTAAAATTGGTGTAAACAGTTCAAACGCACAGAAAAATTGTTGAGCTAATATAAATTAAGTTCAAGACAGATAAGAATTTTTTCTAAATAGGAGATAAGATAATCATACATCATGATGACAGGAGTTTCACAATCAGTTTGCTTGCAATGATTTATTTGATAGCGAACAACATGGACAAATACATGAAAGAATGTGCGGTGACATCATTAGGTTTTATATTCCAACCTGGTCATGACGAGCCCATAATTTTGTCCATGTTGCGCACTATAAATTACAACACTTTTTTAAAGATAAATATACCTTACAGTGCTTGTCCAAACATAGTAGAGGAAGAAATACGAAATCATAGAGCAACAACACAAACAAGCACATTAGCCGAATTATGGCAAAGTTTATTTCAACTTCAATCCCACGCGGAGTCATGGCAGTACAAAAATCAGTTATTACTATTAATTAATGATCACAATCACCACTCAGTAATTCTCATTTGTGGCTTTGAAACTCACGAACGCAAAGAGCATTAAGTATAGAGCTGAATGAAGAAAATTCCAGAGGAAAAGCAAATGCCTGATCACGCGTTCCTAGGTTCAAATAAAATACAGTGCTCACTGCTCCTTCATAAGAAATGTTGTTACTAAATGAACCACGTTTTTATGAGATCATAAAAGTTTGACAAAATCAATGTTTCTTTACGTTCAATAATTTCAAAGTCAACTTGGCCACAATTACAGCTAAGAAAATTAAAGAAACATGGCAATCATGACAGGACGTCTTTCAACAATCGATTCCCAAACACGAACAACTAACGAACGAGATTTACCTTGCCGACGGAGAACTTGGAAGGTCCAACAATTTCTTTTGTCTCAAACTTGATGGTTTCCAGTGATCTTTCTTCCCCAAACTTCTCGAGGAGAGTGTATACTTTCGCCGGTAGTGGCTCACCACTTTGGAATATCAGCTAAGGAGAGAATAATATTGTGAGGATTATAAATAAACTACAATTGTCACAATTTAATATTATAGCTTAATAATCTCTGTAAGTTAGCCAGATAATCGATTATTTCTAAGTGATAGTTAAATCAATTATGTGCATAGTTGGATAATAATTACATAAACAAAATGGAAGTGGATTCAGGGGTGAGCCACGTGTCTTGAAGAACGTTTAAAGAAGGAGTTTATATCATAATTGTATCACCTACAATTAACATACAAAACAGGGTGCTTTCAGAAGCGAATACAAATTAACAATCCATTACGGCACATTAAACGATTTGTTTCTGCAATTCAATGATTTATGTTTGGAACGATTGCAAGAAGAAAGCTAAAAATAAATCTCAGTGAGAGATTTTCTACAAAACACAAAGAACAACAAAAGCAATCTTTTGACGCAAGTTCCAGCTTGAGCTAACATCACGTGACTTGAACCAATATCACGTGACTTGCACCTTCAATGTACAATGTACACTAAAAAAGGTGCACAACTTGATCAGACTACACTGAAATACTTTGCATATCATGCAATTAACAGCAAGAACTGCAAAAACAGCAAGAACTGCAGCGTTGAAGTGAGATAACACGTAAGCTAAATATTGGAGCTCACAACATCACAAGAGATTAACAAGATACAGCAATACCCCGATTTACCGCGGAGTTTGGGAGAAAGGAAAAAGCCGCGGTAAATCGGGGCGCGGTAAATCGGTTTAACCATAACAACTTGACAAGAGATAATTCAGCTGGGCTGGCAGTGGGAATGGTTTATTGGCCATCGGACTAACAAAAGGGAACATAGGTATTTCAAGTCCTGAGGGCATTTATAAACTTAATGTAGTTATGGTAACTGGGAGCAGGACTCTAGAGCGGGGGACTGTAGAGCGGACTTGGTTGGAAGTAGGAGCGGAGTCAAATCGCCAGGGCCGGAACTCCCCTACATGTACACTGTACAGGACCCATACTATGAGGACTCTAGATCGATACCCATAGATCGATACCCACAGCGGTTAGAAATTTGAGAGTGGACTGTAGAGCGGACTTGGTCGGAAGATTAATATCAGATTAGATACAACTCCTACAGCCATGGTAACTAGGTCGCGTTATATTTCACGCCCAGACAATCGATGTTAATTGTTAATTAAGGTAATATTATTATAGTAATGCATGACGACCCGATCAGTAATATTATAACTCCCAATCATCGAAGGACTACCACCACTACAATAAATCCATTGCATTATACGGTATACATTGTACAGTGTACATGAATGTGCTCCTCTCTCTATTTCCTGCTTGATAATAACTACTCCAATCTTATCGTTCCATGATACTAGTGTACTGATTGGGGACATGGCGATAAAAGTCTTATCTCCGGAGTTAGGTGGGCAAACTTTAAACTTAGCAAAGGAATAATCACTCGACACTCGACACTCTCCAAATTGAAAACTATTTCCATACTTTTTGTGGTGGACGTTCAACTCTTGATAACCAATCACAAGATTTAAAAAACGTTAATTCTAAACTCACATAAACCTGAACAAATCGCATTTACCTTACTCGGGAATATTATAACCGGGATAAAGTGGTGGGTTTTGGAAGATTCCGCCATATTTTTCCCGGTCAAAAATTTTACCAGTCATAAAAAACCCAGCCGACTCAGATTATGGGGTTCCAAGGAGGCGGTGATCATCATATTTTACCTGAAGTCTCATATGTGCTAGAGAAGACTTTTGAAGCAGTGCATGGAGGGCTGTAACTTTATTGGCGGTTGCTACCATAATTTCGTTATAAAAATCACAATTTGGTTATAGAAATCAGATTTCAGGGTGGACCGTGATTCTCACTTCTCTTGCCCATGAATCAGTGAATCGTAGAGAAGAAAACAATTTATATATGTTATAGAAGAAAACGAAAATAATAATAATATTATATAATATATATTATTTAAATAATAATGTCTCTAAAGATTGATCGCTTCTCGTGTGCAGTGTGTAGACTAAAGAAAGAGGGAGTTTTTCCCGTTAAAGTAACTTGTGGCCACATCCCGCTAGAAGTGAGTAAACTGTGCCACTATTTCATGGTCCACGGTAGATTGATTACAGGAGCAGTTGAAGATGCAAAGCCAAGAAGTTCCCCAATACCAAGCGGTGGGCAGGAAATTAAGCTCCGGCTGACCTTCAGAGCAGTAGCCCCATTAGCGGACAAAATGAAAGTCTTGTTAAGACAACAATACAACTTCGAATTTGACGGTCAGCAGCTCAGGGGGATATCAATAATGATAATGGCGGGGACATTAGCGATAATGAGAATGAGAATACGCTTTAATGAAGATTTGACTTATTATTGCTTAGATTTATTTTCCTTCAAATAGACGTGTCTTTTTTTTTCTATTTCTGAGTAATATCAATAACTGTAAATTGAAATAACTTCTTTAACAAGTAACAAAAACAGAAATTTCGGTTGAAAATTTGTTGACCTCTGAAAAAAAAACTTGAAAGGTCGGCCACCGGTAAATACATGACCGGGATAATTTGGCGGGTTTTGGGAAAGTCCGCCATATTTTTCCCGGTCATTAATTTTCCCAGTCATAAATTAACCCGCTATAATATTCCCGAGTAAGGTATACAACAGCGAAAGCAACCGAAAAATAAATTACGAGTTAGAGCTATTTTAATGGTATTGATGTTAAAAGTAAGGTTATAAGTATACTAATTAGGAGCATATCCGTAGACCCAGGGAATGAAGCAGGTTAGTTCAACGGAACGAGTACAATGACGATTAGAAAGGTGATACTAGTGCTACAGCCACTAATTCATGAGCAGTTCCCACGGCAATAAGGGGCTAGTACCGGACAACTGTTCAACCTAATTTGGACTTTTCCTTGACAGGGTAGCTTCAAGCTTGGGAAAATTATCATAAACCCAATCAGTTAACTTTGAAACGCTACCAGGTTGTCAGGATCGCGGGAACGAGGTTCCACCGGTCAAAGACTGATCTCCACGGTCAAGGTATACAAGAGCAGGTCTTGATTATGTACTTCTGGCATATCTGATCTCCACGGTCAAGGTATACAAGAGCAGGTCTTGATTGTGTACTTCTGGAATATCGAATCTCCACGGTCAAGGTGTACAAGAGCAGGTCTTGATTATGTACTTCTGGCATATCTGATCTCCACGGTCAAGGTATACATGAGCAGGACATCTCTTGATTGTGTACTTCTGCCATATCTGATCTCCACGGTCAAGGTATACAATGAGCACGACATCTCTTGATTGTGTACTTCTGGCATATCTGATCTACACGGTCAAGGTATACATGAGCACGACATCTCTTGATTGTGTACTTCTGGCATATCTGATCTCCACGGTCAAGGTATACATGAGCACGACATCTCTTGATTGTGTATTTTCTGGCAAATCTGATCTCCACGGTCAAGGTATACATGAGCACGACATCTCTTGATTGTGTACTTCTGGCATAGGTAGAAGTAGTTAGGGTATGCTGATCCTTTCTCCGGGTATAAACGAAACCGACTGCGTCCAAAGGGAGTTTCAAGAGCTCCTATCTTTTGCTGAAGACAACCATGATTCGATACTTTGATCACCATCTCTCTTCCTTATGTATTGATCAAAGCATCAAAGCTGTATAATAAGCTAATAAGCGGACATAGATCTCGCAAGCATGAGCTTGAGCATTTTAATACTGCAGAGAGGGACGGCTCTCAGGAGACAAAGTGGAACGAGGCTAATAACTGGTGAAAACTAAATGAAAATAATTGGCGGTCTCGGTCTCGGTACTTATTGGCCTTTTACTAAGAATTTTATTAAGAATACCGATTATAAATCACAAGGGTGAAGCCTAAGTAGGCACTGATAATAAATGAGCAATTCTAAAGCAATTTTTTGTTCACCCTCAGTACCAACACAATAATGGTACAAACACAACCGAACACCAAATTAACAATAAAACTGAGTCTAAACGGAGATTTGCAAACATCACCACCCCTTAATAAAACAGAACAATTCCGGTCATATTTCACACACTTCAAGAACTTACTGTGATTCTCCACAAAACATTATCTCAAGAGGGTGATATTGTAAATTGTAAAATTATAAACTTAAACAAACTATCAGGTTCCACCCCAAGGTCAAGGGGACAACAGCTGCCACTTTACAGAACTATACATGTTGTAGTTCTGTAAAACTGTAGTATAAATGCAGACCGCAGGGGAAAGAATATTTAGCGTTTAAAACAGGTGTATTGCAGACTTGCAGAGACGATCACGTGATTTAAATGGGATTTTAATAACCGCAGTACAAATGTGAGTCATGACCATCAGTTACCCACAACCTCATCGACCAGGATGAAAATTTCACGTAAGTAGCTGTGTCGTGTGGAATCTTAATATCAATACTGTGCCCACAAATCGCTGGTAATACGGTAGGAGGCCAATATGAGGTTCAACAAATTGAAAAAGGTAGTGCAGAAAGGAAAATATCAGACATTTTATTATTAATCATAAGTGTAGAAAAGAAAACATCAAAAATCTTAGTATTAATTAAGCGCATCTAAAACGTTTATGGTTTTGCCAACTGTGCTGAAAACCCAATTACCAGCACACAGGATTATTAGTCCGTAGGACGGGAATAACACTAGTAAACAAAAACAAACTGGAACAAAACAATATAAATTTACTATGTAAATCCTTCATCCTTGGCCTGATCCTTGCTGAACCTAAACAAACAAACTAACCTTAGTATTAGAGTCAATGACAAGGTTCTTGAAGTATTCTCCCTGAATGATCTTGTAACCGAAGGAACCAACAGTAAGTGACAGATCAGTGTAGACCAGTACTTTAGCTTTACCTCCCGCTATACTCTGAAACGGTAGGAACACACCATGAAGTCTCAAGTAATACTGTTTAATAACGTTATTTGGAGATAATTTGATAATTTGTGCTGTAATCTGTAGAGCTGGTACTGGTGGGGTGCGATGCATGGTGCCCATTATTGATGCTTAAAGTTTGTGGAGCAGGTTTACGGTTGTGAAAAAGTGATTATTAAACAATTAGCAAGTGCGAGACATTGTGCTTATTGCCAATTTGAGCTGAAACTCTTGCACAAGATAATCTCTATTATGTAATATGAGGCAGTGAAACTAGCGGGCTGCGAATTGCGATAAATGGGGACTTGGCACCACATGGCAACATAAAAGTATATTGACTCTGTAGTCTGTTACATCAGTTCCTCAAATTTGTTATGAACTAAATATAGTAACACAGGTTCTGTGGTGGATTTATATAAATTGAAAAAGCTAAAAGATGTTTCTGCTGTAAATACCTGGGTTTCCAGAGCGTTCTTGATAAGTTGAGGGGTGGATAGAACAATGTGAGGAATTTCTGGGAACGTAGTCATAGTATCCAGTAGTCCTTCTGATATCAACTAATATAATTGGGTTGTGTTAATAACAATTGTGTCTTACCTGGAACACAAGCCAATATGAAGCTTGATCGAGAATCGAGTCTGTAAGAAGTTAACGCCACAGTCTGAGCTGAGCGAATTGAGGAATTCTCTCCTTTTTTAAATCCATGAAGAGCTGTTGATACAAAAACATACCGGAATTTTAACAGTGAGTGCCCGGATAATAGCGAGGGTGGATGGAATAAGAAGCTTATCTCGAAGTAAAACAAATCCTTGTGTTTGTCTTAGGTTTAAGTTGACTTGTTGTAGGACCGCTATAAGCAGTGCACTGCACACATCTTCACCGAGGTCTGCTTCAACAAGTACTTTCTGGCCTGGAGTGAGATAAATTTAACTTTTTAACCAACATAAATGTGAAATATCAAATTTCGTCATGAGTTATTGAAGTAATTTAGTAAGTAAAATGTTTGGTAAACAGTAAGTAATATTTCAAGTAATCAAGCTCTCACGTGACAAGAGGAGTGGTAGAAGAGCTCTGTGTACAGTTGAGGGTTTCTCCAAACCAAACTGGTGTATACCCTCCACCAGAGTGGACTTTAAGTCCATCTCCTCGTACAACTCAACCTGGTAGTTAAAAGTTACAGGTTGGGAAACAGGGCGAAGAATAACAGTTAATCATAATGTATCGAGCACTGAGCCGGTACAATCCCTACCTTATCATTACGAAGGTTAATGAAACATGAACAAACAAAAAACGTTTCCATCCTTGGGGTATTTCTTAATTCACCTGCTTTTTTATTACCATGTTATTGCACAATTTCTGCTGGTTACTACAAAGTTGAGACGATTGTGATGCAAGTACTAACCGGTTTGCTAATTTTGGAGTCCTTAGCATCCATAGGTTCCTCCTTTTCTTCGTGGTCAAACCAATTAAGTTTAACTGGTTTATCTGATTTCTTATCAGTACTCGAGTTTCCTGCTTTCTTATCAGGTCTGCGCGTGGTTGAAAACTTGTCAACATTTAATCAATAACCATAAAGTATCAGAATGGACATTGGACAATAGCCATAAAGATACAGAATGGACAATAGTAATCGCACAATTGTTCTACAATTTAAGAGCATCGAATCTGAGAAGTCCAATCAATTCAACATTACAATAGAGTTGGAACAGGGAATCAGTTATAAGAAACAGTTTGTGTTACCGAACGTTCTCTTTAGCGGGAGAATCAGGTGGTTTCGGAGGGTAAAACGGAACATCAGGTGACTTTTGAGGTGGTGAGGTTTCAACCTTGCCCTTGGAGGTTCCCGGAGGAGAAGGTTGGAGGGGCTGGAGTGGGGTGAATCGTGCAGAATATTCTGGGTCAACCTTGTTAGAAAGTAGGGTTAGCTTCAAAGCATGGCTTACTAATAATATAGAATTAGGAAGCCTATTTAGAAGCCATAATAATGTCAAGCCTTTAAAATTTGAAATCAACAACAAGACCGTACGCCGTGAAGGACGTTAGCATATTTTAAATAAATTCCCTGAGTTTTATAAATTTGAAATGATGCCAAGTGCCAATGCAACGCACATACCGCCGCACATACAGGCAGTTTTGAGAGGACTTCCCTGTCGGTTTGCTCAACATTTTGTAACTTTCCGGATATTGTGAGTATATCAGTCCCACTACGCTTTACGGATGGGAACCGTAACGAAACATGATTCTCTGAAATTGTAAACTATGTCAGCACTAGACAGTGTATGAGTATCATATCAACTTCAATGTTATTATAGTATGTTAATTGTGTTAGTTCCTTTAATATGTTTAACTGTGTGCCTTGGTAGGTAAAAGATAACGAATCGATGAACTTTGGATTGGAAGAACCAATAAGAAGACTTACTGAGGGCTATCTTTAGAAGTTCCTGCTGGTTGGCATGAATCCAAGTGTTACACTTGCTCCCCACTGATAGTGGTCTTGTAACCGGTGTGTCAGGAGTTTTTCCAGATCCAATCTGTCTTTTCTTGTTGTTCTTAGAGATCATGTCCGACGCGAAATCTGCGAGGGATTCCCGGAGGTACTCGGCTACCGTCTTAACGTTAGCGGATATTTTACCTGCAGATCATTTCATGAGCACATAATATGGACTCGGAAGTCGGAGTAGAAGGGTTTTTTATATGGCGTCAATTTTGTGATCAAACTTTGAACTTTGGGCGCATTTTACTTTGATTTCTTTTAAATCTTCTAATTTATCTGGAGGGTTGTGTGGTGGATATTGCGATAACGAGAGAGAGCAATTTATTATTTCTGTGACCACTTAATTATTTTTGACATTATTAACTATTAAGTGAGTTGAACACGAAGATTTGTTAGAGAATACTATGAGAAGATGTTCAAGTATACGGGTACGTGTTAACTGTTCGAGTACACCGGTATATAATAAAGTATCTGGTCAAAACCTGGCACAACTTTGCGAGTTTAGAAGGTTTGAGATGTTATTTGTGCTCCCGCCTCCCTAGGGTCTCTACTTCAAAAAAAATTGGGTGGATAATTTGTTATGTGTGTTTAAACTTGTTAGTTCAGCCTTGGGGAACCACACCTATATTTCATATTAGGCGCGTACGTGAGAAATTTTTATCTCAGCTTCTGAAGGCCGAAGATACTTAGTATTGGGCTTAAAATTACCGCAATATGTAAGTCTATAATAGCACTATTAAGGTGCTGAAGCTACCCGGGACTCACTTTAGGATAAAAATGAGAAAAACTGATATTTACTGAAATACAAACAAACAAACAAAAAAACTACCCTAGCAGCTAGGTTAAGTCAAGGTAAGCACATCGATGTATGAACGTTTACTCGACACAGTGTCCTTTGTGAGGTCATTCTGGGCTAGAATCGTTTGATTTTGGGTGCCCACTTTTATCAGTAGTTCAATCCTGGCCTAGGTGGTAAAAGTTATAAATTGCCCTCAGTCGCAAATATATGATTTGTCTATCCATCTCCGCTCCTGAAGAATGTATGACCTTCAAGATAACCACAACAGCAGAATGGCCATATTTACATACAAGCTATGAAGCAGTATGGGGTCTATATTGCATATTTTTTGGGATATTTATGTTTAAAATATGATTTTCAAAGATATATTGGGCTTAAAAAAACATTAACAATACAACAATTACAAACGTTCAACACTGCCGCATTTATGTAATTTCACATCTCCTGAGCTACTGCACCTCTCAAGCTACTTAAATCTGAAGTTTGATGCATCAATACCGTCTACCAGCACCATCAGCTCATCTTAGAAATCACAAGCAACCCGCCGGGCAACTACATCTAGCAAAGTTCATTTAACTTTTAAGTACCCGTTGACTATAATATATGCCCACTTTTATGTCAGTACAACCACAACTAGCAAAGTCCAGCTGAAGCTACTAACAGTTACCTCCAGCCATATCCTATTTTTACTTTTCCCTCCAATTCTAGCTTAGTACAAAAGTACTAATTGTGTATTGGAAGAAAATATGACCCACCACCCAACGTCACGTACGATTCTTGCAATGTGCGTTTTCATTTTATTCCAACTCGTTTCTAGTTCTGCTCATACAGATGTATATTTTTGTCTAAATTCTTGCTAAGGGGCATCCAGTCAGTACTCTCAGTGACCAGTAAATTCCACGCCTCCACAGTCGCTTGTTATCTGACAGCGAATCTTCAAGACCCGTTCATGTGAGATTTTGTGCAACACAGAGAGTCATAACGGCTACCATTTATGCTTTATTTATGAGCAGAGGGTCCCTGCTATATTATGGTAAGCAAACCCGTTGCTAACTCCCCTTAGGTCAAGGATTGAAACAAAGGCTATTATGCCATTACGAACTTTGGACATTAAATCCTCGGTTACGTATCGACGCCACGAACTTATGAGAGCTTGCTGCTGGATCTTGGGCGTTACTTCTAAGGCAATTTGTACATTTGGGGGGGGGGGGGGGGGGGGGGGGGGGGGGGGGGGGGGGTGGGTGACATGTCCGCATATGTCCGTCTATGTCCTATCCTTTTTGTAGTCTATGAGACAAACGGACGTGTTTTTGGGACATTAGCGGACATTAAAGGACATTAAAGGACGAACATTATGAGAATTTGTTGCACAAGATTTGGACACAATATTTTCGGCTCATAATGATCATGACAGCATGAAACATGAAAAAAAGTCGTTTCCAGAAAAACTTTTTACTTAGAAAATGTTCGGTCATTCTCGATACGTACCTCTGAAGGCAGGGCTCCCGCTTCCGAGCTCACATTGCAAAGGGGAGGCCTGCCTACCGGGATCGCATTACAAGAGGGAACCCTCGAGTCCAAAAATCGTATTATATCAAAGGGTAGGTTCGGACTTCGAAAATCGAACAAATATTTTGGCTCATAAGTCATAATGATCAGGGTATCATGAATCGTGAACAAAATTACTTTCCAGAAAAACTTTGAAAAAATGTTGACTTAGAAAATTTTCGGTCCGAGTCATATCCTTCGATTATAGAAGTCCGCACTTACCCCTCGATACACAATTTTGGACTCAAGGCTTCCCCCTGGTAATGCGATCTCGGAAGGCAGGCCTCTCCTTCGCAACAAAAGCTCGGAATCGGGAGCTCTCGATACGGGAGGTACGTATCGAGAATGACTCGGACCGAAAATTTTTAGTTTTTCTGAAAACCACGTTTCTCCACATTTCATGCTACCCTGTTCATTATTAGCCGAAAATATTTTTTCGACCCCCCCCCCCCCCCCCCCCCCCCCCCCCCCCCCCCCCCTTGCTTCCTACACCTGCACCCCTGACTTGATCCTGAACTTTATATAACTAATACTTCGCAACTTATTCCCTCTTCTACCAGCATTGTGCTTGTTCATTCGTCAAGCCTCTCTGGCTCAACCGAATGTGAAGAGAGTCACGTAAAAATTAATCTCAATTTTCCAAAACCCGGTTCCGGTTTTAAGTTGAAATTATTTTCTATAATTTGTTTCATTATCTAGAGAAGGAAACGAAATGTCAACGATACTGGACACTGTCAAACCAATGAAGATTCTACTTATCAGCCTATTCCTGCTTATAGGATATTGTGGTGCCCTCCCTGCCCTTGAGCGAGGTTAGTAGATCTCCAATCTCATTGATCCATTAGCACCCCAAACTCCACCTCCGTCCTCCGTAGGTATAGTACTTGGAAAAAGGTAGTCCCTTCTCAAATCCCTCCATAGAGTATTGGGGTGTAAAATTTCTCACACGCGCACAATTTCTACTGTATGCTATAGTATATAGTATATACTCGAACAAGTAAATCAGGTTCCTATACTTTATTCATTTCAGGGTGGATCAATATTCCACAGAAGGACTACACGAAGTACCCGATGGAGCTACACCAAACCCTTGAATTCAAAACTGCCGGTCACAATGATACTGGACGCATCGTACACATCTTCAACTTCACTGGAGAATCCTCTACAAAAACGAGACTTGGGATAAAGCTATCGGACCCGGACACAAACAAGTGGAGCTACGTCATAACTGAATGTATGCCTGATAATTTCAATAGCCAGTTCCTGAACAGTGTTCCGGATGAGGAGGTAAAAGTTTGGAAAGTCAAGCTCTCCTACACCCATCTCAGGATCCTTTGCAACGGAGTGGAAGTCCTGGATTTCAACTACGCTACTGATACACAGCCTGATTTTCCGGAATGCAACGAGGCATGGTCGAGGAAATTGGAATATTTTACCTTTTTTCAGGAGTATTGGAGTTTACTCCAGATGAAATATCTTAAAACCAGTAAGTATAATTACATGAAGCGCGCACATGCGGCCATGCCATTTGTGATAACAGACTGGGTCCTATCGAACATGTCGTTCCTAACGCGCAGTGACTGCCAATCCCGCGAAAATAAACTTGTTTATTGGCCCTCTTAACTCAGATATCGTGTACAACCTTAAAATCTTGGAGACCAGACACAATAGTCATGCATATAATGATTTTGATTTAACTATGCCAAATTCAGTATAATAACATAATAATAATGAATATTTTTGCAAGTTGATAGGTTGAATTTACCTTTGACAACAACTCGTTGTTTGTTGGGTTCCACTTTGAGGATCAGACCAGGGTATCTCTCAGTAAAACTCCCTAGCATCGTCAATGATTCCTGGGAGTTGTTTAACCAATCAGATACGTGTTTTTAGACTCCTAATAATTTCAATACATATAACCCAGAAACTGGAACTACATACCAAATCATAATACTTACCCTATAAACGCGAACTAAAAAGCCTTATTTTTTAAATAAGAGATAAAAAGGAGAAAATGTAATACACAGGGGGGGGGGTCAGTATACATACGTTGGGTCTTATAACGTAGACATGCTTCATATTTGAGACCTGTAACTTTGCAGATTGTATACTGGAATACTGGAACTTCTCATTCGAGGAGTCCCTCGCTAAAATTTGAAAATTCGATTTTTAGAAGCCACACCCAACCAACATTAGATTGCTCATACTCGTGTTTGCGAACATGCTAGAAACTCCATTTTAACATATTATTGTGATATTCACTTCACATCATATTGTTTTACTATGGTATTGGTATCTGCCAAAACCAATATGGCTCATGTAAGGGGCCTGGAAATTGTGTCCCATTCGGCCCTACATCCCAAGTTGACTTTCGGCCTCCACTCCTTAAAAACTTACCTTAGTGGAGGCAAATGGTCAACAAGTAGCGATGTTAGAGTTAAGTGTGCTCAAATCCTGGCCTCCTTTCACACCATAGGAGGACTCTCGTATTGTGAGTTGAATTCCGAAGGGGGCACCATTGGGGGGGGGGGGGGGGCACCATTGGTTTTGACAGGTTGCATATTTAAAAATACAATTTTTTTAAAACATATTGTGATAGGTCATTATATGTGGAATATGATTTGAAAATATTATGCGAAACAGATTTAAATTGGACAGTACGGTCTAACGTATACAATTTCATGTTTAAAAAACTTTCTTGTCACCATACCGGTCTGAAAAATAACGAATAGCACGGAAAAAACTTGTGAATGAAATAAAGGAGAGCGTTATTTTATCAGAAATATCAAAGTCTGGGTTGCTCAAGATCAAGTCCATAATGATAAACTCTCATAATAGACTCTATGTTTATTTTAGATATTTGTGTGTAGACTGTAGAAGGAATTTTTAACTGATGATTTGATTTGAAACTTTTACAAAATAGCAAGTATACAAATGTACAGCAATTCGAACAAACATATAAAATGGGCCGAAATGTATAAATGCTAAAAAGCGTGGGTCAGTGAAACAAGTACAGAGGACAACTTTCAGAACAAGAGTTTTTGGCCGCCCAAAGTCTCAATAACATCACCTCCACCTAGTAATATAATAACCAGTTATGCCAAGATCTGTACTGATAAAGGGTTATTGTGTGTAATTTTATGCGTGTTTTCTGTTTAGTGTTGTCAATTAGATAGTCAGGTACGAAAGTAAGTAATTAAGGCTTAGTTAAGGTAGATATTTATTCTTAATAAATATGGTATTTTTATATGATATTTATATTTTAAGCTATGACCACCTTTCTAGTCATAACAATCATGCTTAGCTTGCCTTAGTCACAGCAATGGTTCAACTCATAGTTGCACCTATGTAATTACTATAGCCAGTTTACTGGTCATCTGGTGTTTTGGTGTCCCTTATTTTGTTTCCACTTGGTCATGTGTCAAGGCATTTTTATGGGTTTTCCGGCGAATTTTAATTTTATTTCTGATAAAATGATGTACATTTTTGTAACAATTTAAAAGTTTATTGATTAAAAAAATAGGGTACTCAGACACTGAAATAAGCCCCCAATAGAGTACTCAGACACTGAAATAAGCCCCCAATAGAGTACTCAGACACTGAAATAAGCCCCCAATAGAGTACTCAGACACTGAAATAAGCCCCAATAGAGTACTCAGACACTGAAATAAGCCCCAAATAGAGTACTCAGACACTGAAATAAGCCCCAAATAGAGTACTCAGACACTGAAATAAGCCCCCAATAGAGTACTCAGACACTGAAATAAGCCCCCAATAGAGTACTCGGACACTGAAATAAGCCCCAAATAGGATACTCAGACACTGAAATAAGCCCCAACAGTTGTATACTGACTTTTGAAAATGAGGATAAAAGGAAGCTGCCAAAATATGTACGAACTTTCTTTGCACCCAGATGTCTATGACAAACCTTTTTGGTGACGTATTTCTCGAGAATGTCAGTGCTGTACGTGACAATCTCGACAACTTCCTGACAGTTCTGCTTTACGTCCCTCTTTCGAGCTTCGTTCTTCTCTTCGTTATTCTCGTCAACGAGTTTTAATACTTCCTTGATTGCGAGATCATTCTGCGTCTTAGTACCTGGTAGCGAGCTTTTTTAGAGTCTGAACACAGAAAATCGTATAATATAAACAAAGTTCTATATATCTATTATGTGCACATTCCTTAGGCTGCGTGTTTTGAATTCAATCTATAATAACAAATCTACAACTACTTAAAATGATAAATTTCTCACCAGTAGACGTGAATCCAGTGAGGCCGTTCTTCATTTTGCCAAGTGAGATTTTAGCGCCGCTCACTTCCTCGATGTGCTTTAGAGTACGACCCTCTGATCCGTTCATAACGTTGAAGTACTCTGAGCTCAGAGGAATGATCTCGGTTACCACCGGATCTACCTTCACTTCACCTGATGTATAGAGAGTTTGTCTCGCGGGAATGTGGCCTGTTTTGTTCTAATAATCGAGCCATAGTTGGCGAATATTTTTGAAACTTCTGATTGTTATTTTCGTATATCTTATGACAAAAAAACTTTTAATTATAACAATTATTCGAAGTCTTCATATTACGTGACGTGAACGTAAATAACGAAATAAAAAGTAAAGTCTACTTGCAGGCGTTCCACAACTAGGGTCCCCAAGTAAGTTACCTGATGTTGAACCTTTTGCGGAGGCAACATCAGCCCAGTTTAGGGGGGTAGTGGAGTTGGAGCCACTGTTCACACGGAGGCGCTGCACCTTGGAGGATGTATCCTAAAGCTCGTTAGAAAACTATTATGTGCATTATATTGAGGTTCTCAACTCTTAAACCAGCTATAGCAAGCTGTCTAACTTTCGATTGACTAAACTGGACAGTTACATGTTTAGAAAAACATATTTTTTTTCCAAAATAAGCTAATTCTCAGTGATCAACAAATACCTCGATCTCACAATCTTTTGCCACCTTCTTAACAATCTTTATCAACTGACTCTGCGCTTTGTCTAAGGTCAGCGTGCTCTGTACCAAATTCTTGGGTCTCGGCTCCTTCACTATCTCGTTATACAACCACAACCAGCTAATGTTTACAGAAGGGAAGTAGTCTACTAGAACTTGATTTATAATACGGTCGTATATTATCTCCTTTCCTTTGCCTTTCTTTATAACAAAGTCGAGAAGTGCGTGCATTTGGATGTTGTAGGAGTTTATCTTTTCATGGATTATTGTCTGAAATTAGTTGAATATTTGTGAGGCACATCATTAGACTTAGCAGTAAGCTATATTAAGGAGTTTAAGTAAGGAGTACACTTGCATCCAAAGATAAATTCAATAGGACTTACAGGAAATATCAGTAATTCCAAGGAAGGGGTTGTACCTGGAGGCAGTATGAGCTGACGAAGTGAGCTGAGTTGGTTTCAGTCATCTTAGATGTAAACTTTTTGAAATCCGGCCATCTCGAGGCTATGGGTGCGCCAAATAAGTAAGCCATGAAAAGGAAGTATGATCTGGCTTTGTGTGCATGTCTGGAAAGGTGGAGAAAATAATCAGAAAGGGAATGAAGTCTTAAAACTAGATCTACAAAACGGTTCAACTAAGCTAAGGGTCAGTAAATACTTACTGCAGGTTCAAACTTTTATTTAAAACTGAATTCCACAATTGCAATATTGATGATTGTCTTAGAAAAGAATGATACGATTGCTATTATAGCTCAAACCTGGAAAATGTAAACGTTTTATTGGTTTGATCATAGTCTACGAGAGGAATTTCAGACACAGCTTGAATAAACTTTTTCAATACTAGCGACTCCGCCGACCGATCTTGCTGGAAAATTAAATTGTAACCATTAAGTCAAATAATTTCATGTATTTGAAAGACATGGATTAGCTGAGCACATTATTCTTCGCCAAGATTAAACGACAAACGTACTTTTTTAACGAGCCTGAAAAGTTCCTCATCACCAAGAGAGCCACCAGGCGCTTGTATTATCCTCTTCAAAGCATTAGTCTTTACTTTACTGTTCGCCATACGGCACTGGACTTTATAGGTACATGCTTTTTCTAGATGATATTAAAGCGTTAACAATTAACATTCCCACTAACGTCTTCAATTATGTATCCTACTACATAACTTTCAGTGTAACACAAGAAGAAAATTAAACATATTGCCAACTACCAAATCGTTGTGGGATATGTTTGTGAATGCAATTCTATATGACACAAATAAGGATCTGACCCTCGGGGTACAGGTAAGATATCCACAATAGCGTTTAAAATATCTATGAATCAATGACATCAAAAATCCTCTCAAATCAAAACACCTTGTTGATTAAAACAGCTCATATTATAATTTAAAACAGCTCTAAAATCAAAAGTTTCTTAGATCAACAGTCAAAGCACCTGTTAAATTTAAACACCTCAAATATCAAAACACCTCGTAGGTTTCACCCCAAGTTAAAGCTGTCAAATATAATACTGAATAACTTAAAAATAAAAAGTGGTATAACAAATAGTATAAATGAAAAGGTAATAAGTTAGAGACCTAAATAACTTGTGTACTATGTTTGTACAGATGCTACAATACGAGTTTTCGGTCCAAACTTTCATCTCGGACCAAAATCATATCTTCAATAACTAACGGCCGTGATTGCCTTTTACGTGCAGGCTTCTTTTTACTGTCAGGGGAATAATCATCGTCAGAATCGGATAAAACACTGGCTTTTCGGCTTTGCGATTTTCTCTTTAAATCGTTCAAACGTGCCATTTTAGTAGCAAGAGTTTCTTTCTTGGAAACTCGTTTAACAGGCTTTGGTTTTGGTTTGGGGGGCAAAGGCTCTTCTTTTTCCAATAACTCGTCGTCTAATCTCATAGAGTAACTCAGTGCCATGTCAATCTTAGCGAGTCTGGTCTTTTCTTCGCGTTTGAATTTTCGTTTCAACTGATCTCGAGTGTACTCTGGCATTATCTTTTCCATCAGATCAAAGTCAGTTCCAACTTTTCTCAAAGCTAAATAAAACCTGCTATTCTCCTTCTCGGTCCACTGAACAGATTTACGTTGTTTTCTTCTGGAATATGAATTGATGGAGACTTTATGATCCTCGTATTTACCGTACGATATCTCGGCGTCATCTTCCTCCACCGTTTCCTGGATTTCTCCAGTTTCAGACTTCATCTTAACTTCCAGACTTGTTTCGTTAACTACGATCTTACCAGTTACTGCGTCAACTTGAACCTCGATCGGGGGCAACTCCTCCTCATCTATGTCGTTTTCAGTGAGGTTTTCTCCGTTGGCTTTCGCTTCTTCAATAAGTTGCTGGATTCGGTCTTTCCGTGTTTGTTCTTTAGCTATGTTCATTTCTTTATCTCGCTTCTCTTTTTCTTGAATTTCTTTCCATACTCTGAAAATATTCATTGAAAATTACGGTTCATTAAAAGCGTGTGGACTCTCGAGGCCGTTGAGATCGATATAAAAAGGGGTTCCGAACGCAGGTGGAGAATAACAGAAAGAACTTACTTGGTGAGCGGATTATCTGGATCTTTGGGGGTTCGTAGTTTGATAATATCAGAAATTGTCATAACTGATTTATCGATGTGTACTGGATGCTGAAAGAAGAAAATTTAGTCCCCAAGGCAGTGATTTTCGCATCCAGCTTCTTAGAGGTGATATGACACAGACTGGCCCGACATTAGCGTCTATTAATTGGCGATGTTAACGTCTATTTAGTACAGTCAGTTATGCACATTTATCTGCACGGTTTGATAGAGTTTTTTCCTGAAGCACAGGCCTTCATTAAGGTATAAATAACTCAATTTCACTCGGAGACAACTTTTTTAGCTTGGGCATAATCCTACAGGACGCTTTGAAGTTGAGTCACCGAATCGCGACTGACCCGCACTTAAAATGTGCCTAACTCGGCTTCTAATTGACCAATTGAAATGAGTGAACACGTCAAAATGACCGGAATGATCACATTAATAGGGGCGAATCAAGGTTTTAAGGTCCCAAACCCTTTGGTTTTTGAGTTATAAGACAAAAACAGTGTAGCGAAGCCAAAAAATCAGGATTTTGAAACTTTATTTATCGAGGGTTTTAGAAGATCATCAACCCCACCAAAATGACCGGAATGAGCATATTAGTGTAGGCGAATGAAGGTTTCAAGGGCCTAAACCCTTTATTTTTTGAGTTATACACTTAAAACTCTGACGCGAAATCACAAAATTTGCCGTGATAAGTATCTTTAAGGATAATAATTAAGTCTGTTAATATATAACCTCCTTGTATCGATACAGATCAAAATATGTTGTTAAGATGATCTTGAAAAAACGTTGTTAGAATGATCTTTAACAGGATCAAGCCTGCTATGGAAGAGATCCTAATAATCGATCAGAATGGATTCAGGGAGAGTAAATCAACCACTGTCAAGGATCTGACAGCGGTAATCGTCTTCATTGAAAACCGTATACATATATATTAACCTTGTATGTGATACAGATCAAACATTGTTATCATATATATCCTGAAACTAAGTCTACTAAATGATGGAAACATTATTGTAAATTTTTTTAAACAATTATGATAACTATTATGATAAGATTTCTTCGACTATATCAGGCTTTCAAATCAAATTTATGGTTTACCCTTCTCACAGGATTGTGTGTAATAACAAAATTCTGATCATTTAACCATTCCGGTATGCACTCCTCATAACGTGCAATGATAGGCTGCTTTTTGATAAAGGAAACTCTCCCAAATTACTAGGTGAAAATCCGAAAACAAACTTCATTTACTGACAAGACATCAGTTTGCCCTATTAACTTTTAACCCAATTCCTATTGAAAGGTATTAAATACGTAGTGAAGTGATTGTGACTCACTAGACTGTTTCTGCTCATGCTGGGAGAGAAAAATACCAAGACTTTATTCTTGGATCAAAAGAGGTCATTCAGACTAAAAAAGCCTTAAAAGGAACAATCTTATGATCATGAGAAAGTGGTAAGAAGCTGCGTTGAGGTCATCATTGGATATAAAGAATAGCCTAGCATAACTAACTTAAATCAGACCAGTCACCAGCATGTGACGTTAGAAGTGAAGCGAGACAGTTCTTCTTTCATAAATTCACGAACATTCCAAAATGTTTGGTCGACAGAGAAGGAGGTTCTTACCACAATGATAAGACTCTTCTTTTGAAAGTCGATGCTCCTGACTCAACCCAAGTGCCTCGGCCTCATTGAGTATTGTCAAAAGCTGATAGCCAAGTCGTTGATGTTTCTGTTGTTTTGAGAAATAAACTGCAGTCATCAAGACTACGGAATAAACCATTGATTTAGCAGAGCACGTACTTACTACTCAGCCGCCAGGAAGAAAAGCTTTCTTTTAACGAGCAAGGAGGCTGGATATCGTTTCTGACACCTATCTGCACTCTGCAGCATTAAGAACAGAACTCGTGAGGCAAGTGGTATAGAAGGTACAGTCAATTTTAATGAAGAAGACCATATGCCAGAGATATCGAAAATAAATGAACAAAACTAATCGAAATCCTGCCAATCCTTTATATTTTTGGCAAGATGTCAGCCTCATTCTCTGCTCAGCTATCTTATCAGATGCTCTAATGGAGTGTTCATACACTTCGCTAGTCTGCCGCTCTGACCAGTTGCAGTCTATGTTAAGTGCCATCCTCATTATTATCGTATAACATCCATCTATACGCTTTACGAGTCTATGTTTCAGAGCCATATACATTATACACTATACAGAGTAAAAGGATGAACTCGACTGTAGTCAGGAAGAGAGATCTCTATGCATACCGGATCTCCATTTGATTTTCATATGGTGGCATGCCGTCCATGCTTTAGATTTTTTAACTTCAAAGTCTTTCTCAGACCTCTTCATTCTACTAAACAGGTTTTCAAAGTCCTTTAATTTTTCTGGACAGTCTTCTCACTTGCAGCCAAAAGTGTCAGATATAGTGACAATCTTTAATGTCTGCATCAGTGACCTTTAGAATTTACAGCCGGATGGTGTCAGCTTCTTCTACGTTGTAGGGTAAATTATTATTTCTGACTGCCCAGGGCAACTCCTAACCATAATAAGGAATGTTTCAGTCAGACCATCCTCTGTTATTACACGAGCATACATCCTCTGTATCAGGCTCAAAATCCTCTTGGGATTGCCACATGCCACAAGAATCTTCATAAGGAGTTCAAGGTGGACGCTGTCAAATGCCTTCTTTAAACCAACAAAGACCATATTACCGCTGTGAGATCGAAATACCCTCCTTAGACAAAGAATATGGCTGGTCATGGTGATTGATCTACTCTCCCTGAATCCATTCTGATCGATTCTTAGGATCTCTTCCATAGCAAAGACTATATTACCGCTGTCAGATCCTTATCACCTGCACCCTCAAATACTCAAATACCCTCCTTAGTCAAAGAATATGGCTGGTAGTTGATTTATTCTCCCTGAATCTATTCTGATCGATTATTAGGATCTCTTCCAAAGCAGGCTTGATCCTGTTAAAGATCATTCTAACGACTTTTTTTTCAAGACCATCCTAACAACATATTTTGATCTGTATCAACACAAGGCCAAGGAGGTTATATATTAACATTATATAGATGTATACATAATTGTATATGTTTTTATTCTGTGCTGGCTTATGACAATACATCAAATTCTACCTGTTTATTAAATGTTTAGAGTCGTTATTTTCAATCCTGATAAGGTCAAACTACAAATAATGTGTTATGTTACAGACTTAATTATTATTCTTAAAGATACTTATCGCGGCAAATTTTGTGATTTCGCGGCAGAGTTTTTAGTGTATAACTCAAAAAATAAAGGGTTTAGGACCTTGAAACCTTCATTCGCCTACACTAATGTGCTCATTCCGGTCATTTTGGTGGGGTTGATGATCTTCTGAAACCCTCGATAGGTGAAGTTTCAAAGTCCTGATTTTTTGGCTTCGCTACACTGTTTTTGTCTTATAACTCAAAAACTAAAGGGTTTGGGACCTTAAAACCTTGATTCGCCCCTATTAATGTGATCATTCCGGTCATTTTGACGTGTTCACTCATTTCAATTGGTCAATTAGAAGCCGAGTTAGGCACATTTTAAGTGCGGGTCAGTCGCGATTCGGTGACTCAACTTCAAAGCGTCCTGTAGGATTATGCCCAAGCTAAAAAAGTTGTCTCCGAGTGAAATTGAGTTATTTATACCTTAATGAAGGCCTGTCCTTCAGGAAAAAACTCTCTCAAACCGTGCAGATATTCTACAGCTTTCGTGCATAACTGACTGTACTAATTAATTGTCGATGTTCACAGGATTGAGGCGATTTCTTGTGGAACACGAGGACATGCATAAATAGCGTGGCCTACTCATTTCACAATTGCGCGCAAAATAAACTGTCGTGCGCTAATTGCTAACATATTGCAAAATTTTACAAAAAACTAGCTATAGCACAAATAATTCTTCGGTTGACTGTCATCTTTAGTGAGGTGTCCAGTGACCCCTCTGTGCATGGGGAGATCAGAGCACCATGCCACGCGACGCACTCATTTCAAGTAGGTAGGAACAATGAAATCACCACCACTTAATACATCAATAACGCAGTGTGTGGCTAAATTACGAGAAAATCTGGCGAAATGAGAGAAACACAGCTGCATTTAATCAATTCGTGCTACTGCTTCATTTTAGATAGGCATGTGAAAACTAGAACAATTTGCACCGAACGGCAAAATTCCGTAAAATAGTCAGAATCAAACAACCGATTATGGATCCTGTACAATGGTCTAGAACCTTCTTCCGACTGTCACTTAGTAATCATAAAAAATGAGAAACTTCTCTCGTTACTGTAAGCTCATATCAGACTAATATAATAGTATATACTATATTCTATATGTTACTAGAATAGACATTGTAGTAGTAGTAGTATATGTTGTTAGAACTTTAGAATAATTGGTATAACTTACCACTTTCCGTTGTTTACTCTGGGAACCGTATCCACTGTCCGAACCTTGATAACTTGCAACTGAAATACATGGAAATTTCAACGTTCTATTCTCAAGTTAATTCTTAATAAAACATTAGAAATTTCAAATACGATATGAAAAAAAAAAACCTGCACTCTGCAAGGAGGCCACAATTAATACTCTCTCATAAGTCTGGCCCCGGTAAAAAACTTTGCAAGTCTAAGATAACCTGACTGAGCATCACTATCATTGTATTCGGACCCGGAGCTATCCTTATCATTAGTTGTAGAGATAGTTTCCAATCTGTCTGGAGTGGGAATCTCTTCTCTTGCCTCCTCTTTCTTCGCTTCTGGTATTATTTCTTCTTCGCTTGTTTGGTCTGGTTCTTTGAACAACACCTGTTCGTCACTGTTGATAATGTAGTGTTATTGTGGAGTTGTTTACGACCGGTCTTATTTCCGTGTATACCTCATTGCTTGTTTGTGGCTATTATTTACTGTTGTTATACCATAATAATACTTGGGGGTCCTCACTGGTTCTCCCTATCATGAGGTTAATACCTCAGTTAATACCACATTCGATAACACTTAAATTATGTGAACAGCATCTGTTATTCCATAGAAGGCCTGATCACGATGACGTGTGCAGCAGATACAAAGGTTACAAGATACTCAGCGATACGTAAATTTAACAGAAACGGTATTAAAAGTGTCTCATTGTATAAAAGACTGGTCACCTTTGGTTATCAACATTCAACCGGATTCAACGCAATCAACGTCAAGCTATCACAATAACAGCTCTATAGTACAACTCACAGCTCATGCTTTTTAGGTGATATCTCCACATCAGTAAAGGTAGGGATGTAGTGAGGAGAGAGAGGACGGCGGGGAGAGAAGGGAGTTGTGGGAGTTTTACGGGGTGAAGCGTGGTATAACCCAGGTGAGGTGGGGATCTGTTTGGAGGGTGAGACAAGTCCTACTATGATGGGGGAGGCGGGGATTTTAAACGCAGAGAACTGAAATATAAGTTTAGTTATTGTGGATAGCAAGTGATTGGCATTGGAAATTCATTACAAATTAGCACTTGAGCTGATATGAAGTGTTACTTAACCATGAGACGTAGACTGGGAAGATAATTATGATTATAATTGGTGAAGGTGAGTGACCTCAGTCCTCACCTGTGAGGGAAGTAGAGTAGTGTTACCGGTCGTTCTGATGTCTAGAGGAATAATTGTATAATTAGATATACAGGGGTCAAATTACTGCTTTTAAATTTTTTAATAAAATCAAATGATTATTTTATATTTTTTAAAAGTAGCTCAGAAAATCAAATATTCTATGGTCTTGTTTCAATTTTGAAAATAAAATTTCAAGTACAAAAGTACTCTGATGATCCAGGCAGTAGAACAGGCAACTTCGTCTGTAATTTGAAAGACATTAATGAGAATTCTAAATGAGTATATATCGTAGGTAATCTATGATTGTAACTGATCAATAACAATCGATTTTACAGCCTATTTTAACTAAGGTAGAATTATGATATTAATAAACTTTCTCAAACATTGCATTGTTAACATGGCTAAGAGAGTCAAACTTATAATACACAAGCATCAAACAGCTCAGGTTTTAGTTATCTTGAAATAAGCTTCCACCAATAACACCTCTAATAACTCTATTTACTTCATATCATCACCATTTAATTTTACTTTTTAGGAACGTAAACTATCTCACACTCATTGAGCAAGCATCATTTTATAACTAGATCAATATTCAATACAATCATTACTTACTATTGAATGGCAACCTCTTTTGAGATTCAAATTCCGAGAAGGAATTTGATCTGGATCTTTCTCGGTCTTCAGAAGTAGAATTTGTCCGAGATCTTGCAACTTTGGTTGCTGGTCGGAACTTGCCCTTCAACAAAGGCATCTTTCCTTCAGTAGGTTCTTGCTATGAATTGGATTTTAAGTCAAAATTTAGAATGGACTATCATACAGTTACTTCGCCATAATAGATGATTTCAGCAATGATCAAAAAGGATAAATTTAAAAAAACGATGGTGCATGTTCCCGATTGACGATGCTTAACGGAATAATAACTTTGTCTGAAGAGAAAGTCAAAATCACATTAAATGGACTTTACAACGATTTCTTTGTCTTAGAAGCTGTTACTGGTAAACAAAACTAATTCACAGCACACGAATGTGCCTTCCTATTAACAAAGATTTAATTAGGAGTTAGTTTTGCTTCCTGTATCATACACTGATCATGTTTCAGTCACTTAACTCCATCATACCAATTAAGTAAGTCTGCAATTAGATAAAGAAGTTGCTGAATGTAATTAGAAATATTACAAATTCTGGTATAAAATACAAACTTATAAACCAAAGTACACAGTACATACAGAATACCGATAAAGCTACATATCTTTATAAATTGTTATAATAAAAGAAATATTTTCAATAAAAAAGCTATGTAAAGGTACACAGAAAGGTACACAGAAACTAATCAAGAATCATTATTTCCTGAAATCAATATTTCTGTAATAAAGTATCACATTAAACATATTACAGAGCACATCACAGACACTCATCTCTAAATATGAATTACCTTTAAACTATAAATATAGTCTGGAAGTACATAAATGCTAAGCATTCAAAGTTTTGAATATTCTCATCAACAACCTAACAACCTTTGGTCTTTTGGCAACATTTGACCTGTTGTCCACTCTCTACTTTTTTCTTTATAACATCAAAGGGGTTTTCCAGACAATTCCATCCATTACAGCTATCACTGCTGACATCATTATTATCAACGTTAAACTCAAACTCCTCTGCATATCTAGAGGACAGCAATATATTGATTTTTTCGATTGGAACAGAAGTTTCCACTCCTTTGAGCAGGGTCAGCACGTGGTCAAAATTGAACAAATCTTCGTGATGTAAAATTTCACCTTTGTATGTTACCAAACCAACCCCACCCTGACATGTTGGATCATCAGCTCTAGGCAGGGGTGTCAGAGGTTTAAATAGGCGATATGTGGCAGAACAATATTTGGCATCCCCTAGCATTTGCTTGAAATCTTCTCGAACAATTTTAATAGGAGAGCAAGACACTAGACAAGGTGTTGAGTAACCGATTTTGTTGGCTATTTCATGAAGCTGTTTCCAGTGTAAGGACCCAGCAAACCCTTCTCCCCACAAAGTCTTATTCCCTTTCACAATGTCTGATTGATGAGTGTCTGTATACATGTCAGAAAAATATAGTTCACCTCCTGGCTTCAGCACACTGAATGCTGCAGATAAGACAGCTTCCTTGTCTGGGCACAAGTTTACAACACAATTGGAGATGATGATGTCGAAATAATCTTTTTCTAATCCAGCGCTCTGAAGATCTTCAACGTATCCTTCTACAAATTTGACATTGGGTTTGTCAAACCCAAACTTTTCCTGGTGATACTGTATGTAGGTGTTAGCAACATCAACTTGATCTCCAATCATATCGATTCCAACAACTTTTCCATCAATTCCAGCTAGTTTTGATACAGCAAAACAATCACGACCACTACCAGAGCCCAGATCTAGAATGTTTGCTCCATTCACTCTTGGTGGTATGCAAAGTCCACATCCGTAATATTTAGCAGACACATCAGAGTGCACCTCAGAGATAGCTTTGCAAACATATTTGTTATCAATTAAGTCTTTCTTGTAGCAAACTTGGCTTTTAAGATCATCTCTTGATTTCAGGACTGTTCCATAATATTCTTTAACATTCTCCAAAATAGAGTCAGCCATTCTAACTGAAAATAGCTAACTATTACATTGATGGAAATCTGATAGTAACTCAGAGGCGGCTCGTGGGAGGTGGCTGGCAGTTTTGTTGGGTTTCCAATCGACGGACTGGGGAGGGGAGGGGGTGGGGGGACTTGGGGCCGGCCCAAGCTCTCTCCAAACTACCAATTGCATTACACACAGGGCCTCATGTATGTAATGTGTCACACTTCACAGGCGACAGCAAACAAAAACAAAAACTTATGATATGGGTGAAACAAGACACCACGCGTGTACGATCTCAGCCGCGCAGTATCATAACAGTCGATAGTTCAAATTGCAAGGTGACCTGGACAAGCAAATCATATAGATTACCTGTAGTGGGATGCGCTTGATGTGCTTTGTACTGTTTACAATTAACTATGTGTTAAAACTGCATGGCTTAGTTGTCCAAACGTAGGATTGGACGACCAACAACACAAAATTTCACAAAGATCATTTGTGCGCTTTCATTCGAACGTTTGAGTGAATAAAGAGCTTTATATTGCGATAAGATATTTCCGAAAACTATAACTAATCACTATTTCTATTTTTAAGCATCAGCCACCAGATGGGTGTCCACGGACGCCTGGACGACCTCAATAGCCGCCGCTGTAAAGTAAAGTAAAGTAAAAATTATGACATAACATCATCACACATGTCTACAAAGTATCAAATCACTATATGGAAAAATGTAAATATCTTACCACCAAAATTAATAAATTATTAACTACAACTTTATTAAAAAAATTTCAAATAAATTCAAAAAGCATCCCCAAAAGATAACCCTATTCATACTTTCCAGTGGAATAAAGATTTACAAATCGCTTTTTTGCCACAAAAGGGTGGAAATAAAGATAATCATTATGCTTCTCTTTATTACTAACATAGCTAGGTCCTTCAATTCTCCCTAACACTTCGTATGAAACATTCCAAAAATGTGAATCATTAGAAATATCCTTAGAAATCATATATTTCTTAAACCCTTCTAATTTAGTCTTAAAACTTAAAACAGTCACAGAGTTCTTAACATCTGGAGGGAGTTTGTTCCAGTAAGGAATAACTGTCTCTGGAAGAAATGAACTTTGGAGATTCCTAATCTTTGCCATACTCTAACAACATCTGTTGGATGATACAAGATTAAGACCAGATCTGCTCACTTTGAACAAATCTGAGCCGTAATCGATCAAACCATTAATAACCTTAAAAACTTCAATAAGGTCACCATGTATTCGCCGCTCTGCCAGCGTTGTCAAATTGAGAATTTCCAGTCTACGGCTGTAAGGAACTGGCTAGGAATACCTAAAATATTAATTCTTCAGAGATACAAATAATTCAATCGATAGTATAAACAGAGGATTTCGGTAGAGGTCATTTGTCATTATCCAAGTATAAGGTAAGACACTTTCAACACTATGCAAATCAATTAATAGCGGTTATTAAATTGCATTAATTTCAAATAAGAATACATGCTCAAGCCGCGCACGCACGTATTATTGTATACTTTTTGCTTTCTAATAAATATCGTGTCAATGTGTACGTCTAAATGTTCATGTTTTCATGTGTAAACCGAATCCAATTGAGATTAGTGACAAGGATAAGGACCCAAGTGCCTACAGTACGGCTTTTTTGGACCCCTGTGGACCACTACTCTTGAAATCGCTCTACAACTATTGAACATTTATAACTGTTATATAATATATAACGTCATTTGACAATTATTATCATTAAGAATTAATCTACAATCTAACTGTCTTGCTGAGGGGGAGGAGTAAACGCTTCACAAACTAAAATACTTACAACATGTAACAAAATTAGTGAAACAAATTAGTGAAACAAATTAAAAATTTCATCCTTTATTTTACAATCATAATATAACAATATTTATAAGCCTCCGTTTTGAAAGTTTTAAATTTTAATATATTCACATTTCTATTTAAAATTCAATTTAATGTATAAGTCAATAATTGGCCGCCAAAGCCGCGCATTCTTGAAAACAGGATTAAATTGTTTATGATTATACGTTTATATATTGAGTAAATGTGCCGTCCAGGTGGTTGGTAAAGTGCCCCCGGGGAAGCCTCATCAGTACAGCGACGATCCAACTGTCGTTAAACTTTCAGCAGAGAGAAAGTCCCTTCAGCAAGAATGTAGTCTCACAGGGATAAGCGACAGGAGTGACCTCAGAAAAAGAATCAACCATCTCAAACGTACCATCAAAAAGAGGTTGAAATCCATCAATGAGGCCACTGCTAACGCCCTAGTAGATGTCATCAACAACACCGACAGCTGCAGAAGCATGTTTGAAGCGAATAGAACTTTGGCCCAGTGTAGGATGAAGAAAGACGGAGTGACTGTCCACGATGCAGACGGGAACACCTTAGGTTCTGACTCATTAAAAGCAGAAGCTATTAAAGAATACTTTAATAATGAGTTCAATGACAAAGATGAACCCCACCTCCCAGCATTCATAGACCCTCCTGGAAGCCTCCTCTGTCCCATAACACCTGAAGAAGTTGGCCGCGCTGTTATGAAGCTGAAATCCGGTAGAGCGTGTGGCCCTGACGGCTGACGGTATACCTAATGAGCTAATGAAAGCTGCTGGATATCCCCTCCACTGTGAGTTAGCTAGGATCTATAATCTCTCCTTTGAGACCAACACATACATCCCAGCTATTGGAGAAGGTATCCTGACACCCCTTCAGAAGCCAGGAAAACCCCTGAGGTCCGATAAAGTCTATCCGGCCCCTCACATTGCTAAATGGAACTAGAAAAGTCCTATCCCTCGTAGCCTTGAACAGAATCAATTACCACGTTGATATGTACACTGGACCTTGGCAGGCGGCATACAAGCAGGGTCGCAGTTGTGCTGACCTGGTATGGTCTCAGAGAATGTTGACATCAGTGGTTACCAGGCGCGAGTTTGAGTATAGTAAAATCAACATTGACATGACCGCTGCGTTTAATACTATCCGCAGACAGACCATCATCAACCTCCTCATTGATGCAGGATGCTCTAGAGACGACATTCGCCTAGTTCAGTACCTCCTCTCAAATACAAAGCTCAAGGTGACGGTCAACAGATCCGAGTCTGGTGAATTTGTGATTAATATTGGCGCTTACCAGGGAGACAGTCTGGCAGGTAAAGTGTTTACATTGACCCTTGCCGGTGCCCTGAATCACATCAGAGCCGTGATCAGTGTCACGATTCCTAGACCGAACCCCCCAGTCTCTGATAGAGGCCTCCCGTTAGAGTCCGCCTATGCTGACGATGCTGAGCTTCTGAGTGAAGATGGTCAGAGCCTGGTGAAGATACTAGAGATTGCCAGTGATATACTAAAGGATTGGAGTCTCTTTGTTAACGAATCAAAGACGGTGTTTACAAGAGTGTATTTGGCAGATACAGATGCTTTAGATGCCCATGGCAATAAAATTAGAGGAGATGAAGAGTGGCGAGAGTCAGTGCTATTAGGATCAAAGCTCTGTTCAGAAAGAGATATTGTCAACAGACGCAACAAAGCCAATGTTGCCTTCTACACCTACAAGAAAGTCTGGTTGAATAGTTCTGTTCAGATCAGTGAGAGTAGAAAGCTGAAGCTGTACGAAGCTCTTGTCACTTCAGTGTTGTTGTATAACTGTAGCAGCTGGGCTGCTCCTGAAACCGTAATGGCATCTGTCGACGTTCTTCAAAGGAAGCATCTGAGACAGATAATCAACACCTATTGGCCTACGGTTATCAGTAACGAGAACTTATATAAGAGATGTAATGTCAGTCCCCTTACTGAAAGGATCAAGAAAGCACGATGGAAGATGCTTGGGCACGTTCTCAGAAGCGGTGATGACACTCCCGCCTTCTTATCTTTCAGATTTGCATGTTTAGGATGTTTTGACTACAAAGGAAGGAGGGGCAGACCTCGTTCAAATTTATTTGATTTATTATTAAAAGACATTATGACAAAACAAATTATTATGATTGTAAATAAAAGATTTAGTTTAAGTAATTTCAACGATTTAGTGTACAAAGCTCATGATAGACGTCTTTGGAGAAGTTAAGGGTGAGTCGAGACTACTCGGCCACTCGATTTTATGATTTAATTTCTATTATCTTGTGTTTGCTGTATATAGTTGATTAATAATGATTATACGACAAATAGAAATAAATTTAAAACTATCCGTGGTTTTTTTGAAATAAATTATAATCTTACCTAAATCCAAAGCCAGCTTTGTAAAATTTACTATTAGATCATAATATATCGTCAGTTCAATTTAAAACTGTTCTCAGTTTTATCAAGCTAATGGACGTTTCTAAGCAATTGCTTGAAGTTATTGCTACAGAATTATTGTTTTCGCGCATTACGTAGAATTTACTAGTGTGTAATACTGGTTAACACTGGGTGTACACTGAGTGTAAGTCGCTAAGTTTCATATACGTGCCGTTGAATATTTCCAATTTTGAGTGTATCGTGAGCGTGTTTTACAGTGCAATTGTTCGGTACTAGTGTGTTTGTGTGTATATATATATATATATATATATATATATCATCTGTGGAGTATGGTGTGTGGACTGTGGTAAATAATGTGTTTTGTTGGAGTGCAGTGGTTGCATGTGTGAGGAAAGATAAGTGGTTATTTTAGTAACTCACATTAATCAAAACTTGAGCTCATTTGTGGCAAAATTAAGCTCACACCAATCAAGTGTATCATGCTTGAATTGCAATTCTTGTAAAGCAATTTTCAATGTATTCTTAAACCCGTTTGTCGGAGTATTAAAACTTATCTTACTTGATATTTGTCGACAGCTGTTCCACATGTAGGATGATTGGTAGATGAATTGTGAGGATGGTTGTGATGTGATGAAATAATCCTCTCGTCGTGGTGACCTGTTAAATGATGAGTACAGTGATAATATGGTTCCTCTAACTTATTAATTTTGAATAGTTCTAAGAGACAAGTGTACTTATACAGGTTGTGAAAAGTTAACAATT